CTGAGGCATTTAAGAGTATGTTGGCTGTAGCCCTTACATTGAAAGATGAATGCTAATACCAATATTTTTTTTTTTTTTTTTTTTTTTTTTTTTTGCTTCTGGGTTATCTCACTTGAGATGATATTTTTTTCCTAGCTCCATCCATTTCCTTGCAAATTTCATTTTTTTTTTTCTTAACAGGTGAATAATATTCCATTGTGTAAATAGAATTTTGACCATCAGTTGATGGATATCTAGGTGTTTCCAATTTCTGGGAATTATAAATGAATAAAGCAGCAATGAACGATGAGCAAGTTTATCTACAGTAGGATGTGGAATCCTTTGGGTGTATCTCGAGTGGTGTAGGTGAATCTTACGAGATCTATTTCTAGCTTCCCGAGGAACTGCCACATCAATCCCCATAGTGGTTGCACAAGTTTGCACTCCTACTAGCAAGAGCTGAGTGTTCCTCTTATCCTATCTACATCCAGCATGAGCTGTCACTTGTGGCCATTCTGACAGGTGTAACAACAAACTAGGTTGTTTTCTTGTTCAGTTTTCTTAGTTCTTTACATGCTCTAGATACTAACATTCTATCAGGTATTTAATTTGTAAAGACTTGTTTCCCCATTCCACAGGCTGTGTGTTGCTTTAATCCAAAGGGCTGTGGTGAGGAGACATCGCCCAAGGAAGGAAGATTGAATACTGTGTTATGGAGATAAAGGGGCAAACTAGCCTAGGAGGATTATGTAGGAAGGGGAATAGAATAGACAGAATAGTAAAGGAGGGAATGTATGAATCTACTACTGCAAGTTTTCTGAACGCATATACAAAGGGAAATTAAATGGAGTTAACCATATAATAGGGAGAGAATGACCCAACTAGAAACCTTATGCTATCAAGTAAAACCTCCAGTGCCAGGGAATGGGTTACAGCTTGTTCAGTACTAGGCCAAGGAGGTCCCATGACTCTCAAACATCGGAGCCTATTGCCCAGGCAGCTAACTCTGCTCTTCACAACTTATTGTATGGCCCTGTTGAAGAAGACAACACATCATTGAACACAGATAAGTTGAGCTGATGCCCAACTAGAAGGTTCGCCTCTACTGACTAGCATTCGTAGTTCTGGAAGGTACCGTGCACACCACTGCAGGAGAAATATAATCACATGGCTACTAACCCGCTGGCCCACAGCAGTGGCCTGCCTGCAAGATACAGTCATGCAGGAGCGGCACAAATGTTACAAGTCACCACCCACTGGGCCCACTCCATGAGATGGAACCCACACCTGACCCTGCTGAAGTGGCCCTCGGACCTGAGACTGGGTAGGTCGCGGGCCAAGGAGAAAAACCTACTATTATTCTGCTACCAGGATACAGCAGGGAGTTACTCCCAAAGACACCCTGTTGTCCCCATGGGTCAGTGCTTTCCCCCGTCCTCACCACAGAAGCTTCTTTTGATCGATGGAAATTGGCAGGGACCCACAGCTGGACAATGTGCCCAGAGTGAGAGACTGGAGCGTTCTCAATGGGACGTCTTCATCAGACCCTTCCCCTCAAGGCTCAGGGGGCTATGCTGAAGACGAGGCAGGAACATTGTAAGAGCCAGAGGTGCTGGATGTCTCCACGGGAAACTCTCCTCCAGACGCAACAGGACGGACGGACGGACTGACTCTCACATGAACTCACAGAGGGTGGCAGGACAAATAAGACCTCAACAGTTTCAAGCCAGATGAATAGTAAAGAAAGAGTGAGTTAAGAAGCTACCAAGTAAACAGCCACTTAAACATTTTCGGTTACTCCCTCCAAAAACTGAGCTCTTCTTTCCACCACAAGGCACCATCTTTTGCAACAGTTCTCTTTTTGGAGAACTTTGAATTAACCTGTAAACACTCTAAAGATACTAAGACTCCCTTTCCCCAAATGGAATCTGATCTCGACTCGTTAACATATTGCAGTTTCCGCTACGGGTTCTTTTCTTAGAATCTAAACACAAATAAGAATAATTTGGACCTACAATTTCCATCTATCTACCCAACAGTAAAATGGTTCTGGAAAACGATGCATGTAACTTGATATCCTCTAGGAACAAAATTACCGTTTTACCTCAAAGTTCATTTTTGTTTTTCTTAAATAAAACAAACTCCAACTAGGACAATCCCTGAGTCTTCCCTGACCCACAGGCATACAAAGGCAGTGAAGTGCCCAGCTTCTACCCGTTACACCACCCTTTCACGGAAGTGGACAGAACTGTTTAATCAAACGTGACACAGGACAAGTGACCCTGTGCCACACTTAGTCAAACCACTGACTGGTGTGAGAAAAGGACCATAATGACAGAAAGCCTACACACTTGGTCCAAACTGTATTGCCCCCTCTCTCCTTTAAACAGCACAGTGTGCAAGGCAGCCATTTGGTTTTCACACAGTCCTAAGTCTTCTCAGGCTAGACGAAACAGTTACAGAACTAGAGGTAGTTCCAATGCAGAAAACTCAGGAGTTTATCAGAATGTCTTCTTTTCTACAAGCTTGCAAAGTGATTGACTTCTTCACGTTAATGACGCTCTGGGTCACTTCGCTTCAAGAGCAAGCAGAAGCTTTTCTAAGAAAAGTGAAGGACCAAACTTTTCTCAAGCTCAGACTTGAACTAAGAAACCGATACCTAAAATACCAGCATGTTCTTCCCACGTTTTCACTTCCTCATTTATTAAATTCTATAAAAGTGTCCATCAGCCATGCCCCTTTTAAATATTCTTGGCACTCTGTTAAGACTGTTGATGTCAACTTTATTTTGTACTTTCATGTTTTCAGATAAAAGGCTAATATTATAGAGTATGCACAAAAATCTTATCAACCAACCTATTTCCCAACAAGACTTTTATACCACAATTTTATATAAAAGGATGAGTCGAATTTCCCTTAAAAGTCAAAGACAAAAAGACATTATATTGCTTGAAAGCCTGATGCCAACATTTCTTGAGCCATTGATGACTTCTAAAAATCCAAAAATATTCAAATATTAGCAACGGGACAATTGGAAGAAAATATGAGCATTTCACATGTCTCTTACATTACAAAGTTATCACCCTGTCAGAGTTACTCCCTAAGAGCCTAAAAATAATCTGGCATAAACCACACCTGTAAGTAGGGAGTCACAGTGATATTTGTATTAACATTTATATTTCTATTTTTTTTCCAACAATAGAGGGAATGTTGAATAATTCCATTTGTCTCAAATCTTTAATGTAAGTATAATAGGCTCAAAATATATTCAAATCTCAAACAGTTAAGCAACAGCATTAGCTAAATTGTGTTTCACAAACATTTTTCACATATTATCAAATACTTAGTGGCCACAAGTTTAACAGCTTGTTTTAGTTGACATTGAAGTTAACTTTCTGCCGCAAGCTCATCTACTTTTTTTGCTTTTCTATTTTTATATGTTTTTTCATATGCCAAAGAGAAAACACCTGCATCAGATTTATTTACGGATGTATTAACCTATGAGGATATAACTCCGTTTTAAAGGTTATATTATAATTGACATACTGAGAAAAAGAGAGAAACTAGTAATCAACTTCTTCAGGTCAGTTAAAGACCACGTCTTAAAAAAGTATTAAAACCTTAAGAGGAACAAAAGGAAGAAGATAAAAATAAGGGGATGACCAATGGCTTCTCATTTATGTGGCCACCGGCAAGTACAAGAAGAAATTTAAAAACCTTGTAATCTGTCCAGCTGGGGTCTTTTGTGTATCAGCATTCCATCCAGAAGAGACTTAAAGTTTCCTAAGTGCATGTCTGTCTTCTTGTGGTCTCAATAATCTCAAAGCCAGCTTCCTGGAGAACCTCTCGCTCGCCGATGATCTGGTCAGGTTGTCAAACGTGCCATATTCCTCACAGACGTTCAGGATATGGTTTAGCACTTTATTTAGCGCCTTCTCCTGGTCTTCAGTAAGTTGCAAGGCATGCTGTGTCATGGTGTGAACTCTTCTTGTTTTGCAAGCAGCCGCCCTGCAGCACGCCACACCTACGCTGCATTGTTATAACGGGCAAGCTCCCTTGGTTTGCCAACTGGCTAGCTTGCATGTCCTTGTTCAATTTGCTGTGAGCTGACTGGAAGGCAAACTGGTTCGATGTCTGAAACAGTCTAACACTGCGTGGTGTCACGATTCTCAGCTTCATCAGGCCCGCTTCTATCTCTACCACCTGCTGAGGCCATCCACCGTCATCACCAATGCAGTGATCTCTGCGCTCCCTACCCTGAGTTCAGGCCGCTCAACCCTGCTGCCGAGGGAAGGTGCTGAGGGCGTGGCAGAGGCTACAGAGGACCCTTCTACCACCGTCCTGGTGCCATAGCTTCCACACAGGTGCACGGGGGAGTAGACCCAAACTTCGCGTCACTGCCTGTGCGTGGTTGCCGTATTACATCACATTAACACCGAATCCATTATTTGTTGCTGTTTTTGTTTTTCCAAGACGGGGTTTCTCTGTGTAGCCATGGCTGTCCTGGAACTGGCTCTGTAGACCAGGCTGGCCTCCAACTCAGAGAGGTCCACCTGCCTCTGCCTCCCGAGTGCTGGGGAGTAAGGAGTGCATCACCACTGCCCAGCTATCAACCCATTATTTACACGGGCCCTGGACAAGCCTTCTCTGTGTACTCTTTTATACTCACCATTATAGGAAGAGGCCTGCGCCTCTGCCACAGACCTGGATAGGAAAAACAGGGCCAGTTGGGCCCGTGCATCCATTGAGCAACAGTCAACAGTGGCCTTAAGATGTGACGATCGATTCTAAGGAGCAGCTCACTGCTACCACACTTCCTCGGCTCACTTCCACTTTGGCAGGCATTTCTGAGCCTGACTTCTGCTCTATCCCTGACTGTGTATGGTACACAAACAAGAAGTCTTCTCTGAGCTGACAGTGACCTTTAATGGGAGGAGGTTCCTGCCTCTGGAGTAGGGCTGCTGGGCTCAGACAGAAGTTGAGCAGCACACAGGTGCAATGGAGTAAGTAGACACTTCATGTCAGTGCTGTATATCTGGGTATTTATTACAACTGTACAACAGATGGCAGTAAAAATATCTTGGCAAAGTGATTCCTTCCATCGTTTGAAGGAACAAAGGTGCCGTGTGGGCTAATGGTTGCCCCGCTGAAAAGGCCAAGGAGGAATCTGTTCCAGGGAAATTTTCATTAACAAATAATAAATAATGGGTAAGTCATATGCCAGCGAAGTCAAGAGCTGGCTAAGGCCACGGTTCCCATTCGCATTGCCAGGGCTTCTGGGGCCGAGTGCGAGCATCTCTACCACTCTCCACCTCCGCCGGCTATTTAAAGGCACAGTGTGTACCACAGAGCGCCAGGGCTGTACTGGCCTTCACCTTTGGGTAGCTACAGACCCAGGCCTCCAGGCTTAGTCTGACAAAAGAAGAAAAGGCAAGAAAGATATACACACATTTCACTTCGTGAGTCTTTCTCTCTATTTCTACACACCCAGGGATGGGAGTTTTGTCATAAATTCAGAAATCTTCCCAAAGTTCGCGTCGATGACTCATACAGGAACCTGAAACAAAAAGAGACACAGACTCAGTTCCCCCAGATGTGCATTTTTTAGAAATGGGTTGTGAGCGGACACACTTGCAAACAGCCTGTGACCGATGAGCCTCTGACCCTACACAGAGCAGAACACAGTCCCAGACAATCCTCAGCACCTACTGCAGGGCCCGGACGATGGGGACCTGGAAACAGCATCCTTGATAAGAAGCTAGGAGGGAAATTATACAACACTCTTCAGTGAACCCAATGTCAAGACGCCCAAGCTGACCAAGTTACCTTAGGGTCTGTTAAACTGCTTGTTTGTACAGGACCCCCTCCTCCAGCTACCTGCCTGTCTCGCATCTGTTAAACTGCTTGCTTGTGCAAAACCTCCTCCTGAAGCTGTGGAGGAAGGCACCAGGCTGTGGTTTTCTGCCTTTAAAAACCCCTTATTCTATTCCCTTGGTGCTACCCTGGGGTCTCAAACAACTGCGTGTATTCCCGGCCTGCTAGAATAAAGACTTTCAGCGGGCTGTAGACTGAGTCTGAGTGGTCTTCTCTGATGGGCACCCCATAATATCACCACGGGCTAGGAATGAATGTGGACACTCCAAGGCAGACCCGCATTTATAGCTGGGAAATACCTGCGGCTTTCAAATGAAGCAAATTACCCAAACGACATCTCTTTTGAAAATTGTGGATTGGGGTAAATGTTCTTTCGTTTCTATAGCAGAATTTCACACATGATGGTTTTCTTTTGTTTCCGAAAAGCATTCACGTTTCAAACAGAAACATCTGTTTTAGTCACTGTTCTATTGACACAACACAACATCATGACCAAGGCAACTTATAGAAGAGAGCGTTTAATTTGGGGGTCACAGTTCTGGGGGATTAGAGTCCACAACGCAGGGACCATGGCAGCAGGCGCGGCACTGGAACAGAGGGTCAGAGACAAAGAGGGGGCCTAGGGAAATGGCTTGGAACCACAAAGCCCGCCCCCAGTGGCACCTCCTCCAACAAGGCCACGCCTCCCAATCCTTCCCAGACAGTTCCACCAACACTGTGAACTATGGGGGCAAGGCTCACTCAAATGACCATAATTCCCATCCTTACACTGCAGGCCTCCCTCTCAATCCTCACCTGGCTCTACTGAACTGAGTGAAAGGGCAATCCCAAACATACCCAGCTCTCGGCTGGGGCCAGTCTCACGTCTTTACCTTTCGAGGCTATCCTCTTCCAGAGTGATCTCCATGAACGTCTTCAGCCTTCTGTTCACAGTCTCTGCAACCTCCTTCAGTTTTGCACTTCTGTGTTTAACTGTAAGAAGATCGCAATGAGAAAGAAAGCTTTCAACATCACACACACACACACACACACACACACACACACACACACACACACACACAGAGCTCTGCACATGGAGTCAGTTCTGTGCTCTTTTGCTTTTCCCAAGGTAACCCGGGCTAGCTGCAGGACAATTATCCCTTCCAGGGAGATGCTGTGAGAACACAGACGTCTGCTTCGTGTGGAGAATCACATGATAATGCAATCACCAGGAGAGGCGACAACCAGCGCAAATCAGATTCGCCCCCTGCTTACGTAACTGACAGGTACTCAGCACCCACATCCCTGCCCACATCCCAAGGAGGCATGCCCCTTGCTCTACAGAGCACAGATGCTCTGTGCCTCTGAGCCAGGGCAAGTCACTCAGACAAGCCTTTTACAGTGCCCACGCTGGGCCTAACAACCTTTTAAAGGCGTCAGAGCCTGAGCACCCTCACACTGAAATCTGTCGTCTGAAACATTCTAAAATTCAAAACTTTCTGTCCCCATTGTGTGTTTCAGATTTTGAAGTATTTCAAATGTTAAATTTCCCATTCAGGGATTCTCAGTCAATGTGCTTCATCTAAGTAGTACAAAACCTATGAACTGAAAAAGAGTTCTCATCCTGAACATGTGGGTAAGAGGTATTCTTGGTAAGCATGCCAGCTCACGGGATAGGAGAGAACTTTACCCACAAAGCAATAATGTTAAAAGACATTTTAATGTTAGTAGAACTTTTTGTGTGTTTGAAACAGGGTTTCTCTGTGTAGCTTTGGAGCCTCTCCTGGCACTTGCTCTGTAGACCAGGCTGGCCTCAAATTCACAGAGATCCGCCTGCCTCTGCCTCCCAAGTGCTGGAACTAAAGGTGTGTGCCAACACAGCCTGCTACGTCAGCAGAACTTAACCAAAAATATGAAAACTTGAACATAGTCAGCCTGCGAGGATGCAACTATACCTCACACTGAGCTGACATCTTATCAGTATTGCCAATTATTTTTTCAGTGCGACTTTCTAAGGTTAAGTACTCAAGAGGCATGATGCCAACATGTCCACTGGCTAGAAAAATTTATTTTAGAATTATTTTTGGTGCTGGCTCTCACTAATGCAGACCAAACTCCTCAGTCTGAGCACTGCTCTTACCTCAGCTTCCTGAGTGGCTGGGCCTACAGGGCTATGCTACGGGGCTCACCCAGACTCCTAAACGTAAGTAACGCAGGACAAATCAATAGAAACTCACTTCTGAGGTGGGTCTAGTGTCCCAGATCTGTAATCCCAGCAACTACCAAGGCTAAGGCAGGAAAAGCCCAAGTTCAAGGCCCGACTGAGTTGCAGAGTGAGTTCAAGTAAGTTAGTTAGATCCTGGCTCGAAATTAAAAAGGGAGCTGGTGACATAGTTCAGTTTCAGTGATGGATCACTTCCCTAGCCTGTACAAAGCAAGAGGGAGAAGGAAGGGAAAAGGAAAGACGGAGGGAGGGAGGAAGAGAGGGAGGGACGGAGGGACAGAGGGACAGACAATCCTCAAGCACACACACCCAACAGTGAAGGTCAAAGGTGGACAGGAGCTACAGGATGCAGAGCAGGAAAGCTCATGCAAAGACGGGGCTAGTGAACTAACTGCACAGCATTCAGAGAACACTGGGGAACGAGGGAAAAAAGGCTGTGGGAAGCCTTTCCTGTCCTGGCAGAGGAGAGGGTGAAACAGGCCAAATTCCCAAACATCTCTAACATTAGCGGCAAACGAGGACGTCATCATTAAGTATTGTGCCAGATGAAGGAGAGAAAATGTAACCAACCTTTGTTAATAACCAGAATGATATGCAGAACAGCTGTGAGGCACACGATGCCTTCAATGTCACCGGAGGTTACACACACCTTTAGCTCGTCCAAAAATGACCTACGAAATCAGCACAGGTCTGAAATTACTCCCCATCCCTATACTTACAGAAAAATGAGCACAGGCAAGGTTTACCCGCAATCATAAACACTTTTCAGGTAACATGAGAAACCGCCTGTGGCCCTCCCCTACGTGAATCACATACATCAGTTCTTGCAGGTGAGAACTTAAGACCAGATGGTGTGCACAGCAGGAATATGGTGGCCTTTGAGAATCACCGTGGCTACACGTTCTACAGTCCCATGTACGTAAGAGATACTTGATAGGCGGCTGAAAGGCAATCCACAGCCCTCAGGACGGTGAAATTAAGCTCTCATGGGATGGGCTGTGTCCACACGGTACGGTGCCACACATGTTCAAAGTCTGAGGAACAAATCCCTGTGTCTTCAGTCCCCTGAACCCCAGTCAAATGATACATGGACTGCGGAACCAGGGGTTGCTTATGTGTTGGGATTTTAATCCAGACTCTGTAGGAATGAAGGCTTTCGTGTTACTGAAACAAATGATGCTGTCAGCTGGGGCCGAGGGGGAGGCTAGCGTCACTGAGGTGAAATCTGGGAAAGTACTTCCACAGGGTCCGCACACGGAGGTTGGGGTCTGGTTGGGGGAGGGGTGGAGCTGGAGCAAGGCTGCCACGCAAGCTGGCAGCCAAACAAGGGAGCGTGTAAGACTGCGCCACGTGGAACTGGTTTCGAAGGCAGAAAGGGGTCACAGAGAGCAGCCAAAGCTTGGCACCATATGGAAGAGCTACAGAGAGAAGCCAGGAAGACACTGGAGAAGGTAGAGCGTCAGCAGCGATGGAGATGCCAGGACCTTGGGACAGCCACCCAGGGCAGGGCAGGGCAGCAGGTATTGCACAGAGCCAGCCTGAGCTTACTAGATAAGCTGTACGTGGGGCTGCCCACGTCCTTTGGAGCCCAGCAGAGCTTAAGTGAATTTGGTTATATCAGATACAAGATTTGGAGCTATGCTGACCGATTTTGGTTTTGCTTAAGTGTTATTGTTTTTATGCCTTGCCTCTCCCCTCTTGTAATAACAAAAGGGTGTAACTTACTTTTGTTGTTGTTGGTTTGGTTTTCAGGAGCCCACAATTAAAAAAATATGTTTGGTTTTTTTTTTCTTGTTTGTTTGTTTGTTTTTAAGAAAGAAACTGGACTTTGAACGTGTTGGAATTTTTAAGGACCACTGGTCTTCCCATGTTACACTAGAACTTTAAAATTATACTATGTTTCATATTGTGATATTAATATGAAATCTTGGGGACAAACAAGAAAGGAAAGGTCACGGTTTAATAGTGATGTGTGTGTATGTCATGCTGACGACCGGTCAATTTTGCTACAGAGTTTTTGTCATCTGGGAAGACAGGACCTTAACTGAGAAAATACCTCCATCAGACTGACCCATGGGCATGTCTATGGTACATTTTCTTGATTAAGATTGAGGTTGGAGGGCTAAGCCAATGTGAGTGGCACCACCCTTGGGTGGATGATCCTGAGCTGTATAAGAAAGCAGGCTGAGCAAGTCACGGAGAACAAATCAGGAAGCGGGGTTTCTAAAAAGGCCCTGCATTCATCCCTGCCTTGGCTCTTCTCCATGATGGGCTATAACCTGAAAACAAATGAATCCTCTCCTCCTCAAGTTGATTTTGATTAGCGTTTTATCAAAGCAACAGAGAAGAAAACTAGAACACGCAGTAAGAAGTATTTTTGTACACACAAATTTTTTTCCTGTCTAGCAGAATTTAGTTGTGATAAACATAGCTGAAAACTGTTTAAATGGATATGACAGTTTATAGAAAGTCATGGTTCTTTATGAAAGTTTAATGTAAGCACTTCCCACCACTCAAAAACGCAGGAAAACTCTATGTAATGTTTTTCTCGAGGGGTAAAATATACCTTTGAAAACCTGAGAGTAATAGTCATAAGGCACTGAGAAAAAAAATACAGATCGGATTGTACCAAGATCAGACAGAGAAAACAATTACCTGACCACATCCAAAGACTTCATTATTATTCCCAGTAAACACCTTGAAAATGGAGGAAGGTCAGCGAGACACTGCGGTATGGCCAGCTCTTCTTTATCAGACACCTAGGGAGGTTTCATATCGGTACATTATAAATAGCCAGGACGGACAGCTTGGTTCACACTGATCTGGGTTCTCTTCCATCTGACCAAAGCTCTCCAGAAATTCAAAGAACAAGCTTGGTTCACTATGGTTAATTACGAATGTGGTATTATTTTGCACAAGAACATTTTGCTCAGAGAAACACAGTAGAGGACATATCTCCTAACAAGCCTTTTGTCAAATGGCCTTTATTTAGCTTGATATTGTCTATAAACGATATACTTTTATGCTAAGGCAATTTAACCAATTCTCAGCTAAGATTAGATTCTTTAGTCTTAGAATGCTGGTCTTAAAGGGATTCAAACGGCCCTTTCAGAGGGGTCACCTAAGACGACCAGAAAAAAAAAAAAGACATTTGCATTATAATTCATAACAGCAGCAAAACTGCAGTGAAAATAATTTCATGGCTGGAGGAACTGTATTAAAAAGTCACTCGCTGCATTAGGAAGGTAGAGAAACCGGGTAAGATCCAGTCCACAGAAAAGATAAAATGAAACAGTAAAAGCTAGGCATGGTGGGTGGCTCATGCATGTGATCTCAGCACTGCGGAGGCTGAGGTAGGAGCTTGCCATGAGTTCCAAGCCAGGATGAGCTAAAGTGTGAATCACCGTCTTACATGCTAACGTGACCAGCTTAAGACCAGCACATCAGTAGCTTTAACGTCAGATGAACTACAAGTACTCCCCACGAGTACATGTCACACTGCAACTATTCGTGTGGCACACACACTTAACGGCCTGAGCTGAAAGCACAGGTCAGCAGAAAAGGCTGAAAGAAAGCAGAGGCCCCGTGCACACGTGAAGCTTAAGGGACACAGACGGCCTTCAAGGCTAGCAATGTAGACACTGTGGAGCATTTTCATAAGCAGGTGTCTTCTGACAAAGTAAGACATCAAAAGGAGACAGTAATCTTAAATGTGAACACGACCCAACAAACAAAAGAGAAACTGACAGGAATCATGGGAACCCATAAAGAACGCAGACTACGAGAAGACAGGACTGTCACCAGAAGTCCTCTGCAAAGAGGCAGAGCAGGACTACAGAAAAGAACACACACATCCTCAGCTCAGTCACGGTGCTCGGCTCACTGCCAGGTACAGGGCAGGGCAGGACGCACGAGCAAACTGTGCTGTGACACACGGAGACAGGATCTGGGCTTGTCCAAAGGCCACAAACACTTTCTAACTTCAGCTAGGCAGCTTTCTGAAGTTAAGTCCTAATCCTAGGTTTATGCTGTATGTCACCTAGCACTTACTTTCTTAAACCAAACATCTCTCTTTAGGCTTTGAAGGACAATTTTAATTAATATTTTACAATTTTAATAAATGTCTTTTTGTCACTTCATATTACAAAATAATTTCTCAGACTGGAGAAATTGCTCAGTGGCTAAGAGCACTTGTTTCTCTTGCAGAGGACCCAGGCTCAGCATACCAAGCATACATCCGGCGACTCAAAATCATCTGTTAACAGGCATGCACACAATCGCAAGAAAACAAAGCAACATACACTTGATCATGAGCTGCTGCACAGCCTCATGCTGACATTCTGGCAGGAAGGTACAGTGTATCTGACAATACCCAGTGTGCTGGCTGGCATCACTGTCAGAGTAACCGGGATGTGGCACAGTGAGAATCTGAACCCTCATTTCTCAGGCCGCCCGTGGCTAAGCAGTGCATGACCATCTCCGCAAGTACAGACAATGCAGTGACAGTCCATCGTTTCATCCTGAGTAAACCACGGCTACCTCTCCTCACACCACTACCTGTGTCCACATGGGATGTCTTGGAGCTGAAGAGGAAAAGAGCATCCTGCATGCTCTCCACGACACGGGGTCACTTTCCGTGTTAGCTCAGACGATCACACTGATCAGATCAACCTTTCAGCAAATAGACTGAATCTGTGTCGATAAGAGTCTTCCACTCACCTCTGGCTATGACAGGAAAGTAAGATACCAAAACTTGAGTTTCTGGAGCTAGAGAGATGGTTCAACTGCTAGGAGAGCTTTCTGCTCTGCTAGGGGACCCAGTTTCAGTCCCCAGAATCCACAAAGCAGCTGGCAATAACCTGCAAGTCCAGCTCTATCCACTGGTAGAGGACCCAACAACCTATTCAGCTTTCTGTGGGTGGCACCAAGCAAGCATGTGGTACACAGACACACACTCGTGTACATAATAAACGAATCTGTAAACATTCAGGCTTCCTACAGTTAAGAAATGAGAAGAAACAAGAAACAGGCATGCAGAGATATGACCCACTGTACCTCAATTTAGTCTAGAGCAGCCCTGTCCCTGATTTCTTCCCCAGCAAAGAAGAACCCTGAGAAACTATCAATTCACTCAAAACTCTTAGAGCCAACAGACATATCCATCTCAGTCAGGAATGGCATACCCTTAGCTTATGCTCCAGTTGCCACACGGCTCTAGACACGAATGGCAAGCAGTCCTCACGAGAAGCTTGACCTGGAAAACCCTAGCCACGCCACTGTAAGGAGGCACAGTGCCAGAGACAGTAGGGACTGTGGCAGTGGTCTGTGGTAGTTTCAGTCCTCACCTTCCGCAGCTGGTGACTTATCTCAACCACAGGCGCAGCGATCAGGGTAGAAAGGACGCCATGGTGGACTGCAGTGTCCTTGTACCACAACTGGATGGTGCTGATAAATTCATGGAGGGGGTTCTGGACAGAATGAAAGAGCTACAAGAAATCACATTAGTCAGTCAGTACAGCAATGATGCGGTTTAAAAAAAAAAAAAAAAAGCAAGCACCAGGTGTGGTGACTCACACCTGTGTCTAAGACTGCCCCGGGGTTAAGTAAGGAGGACTGAGGTGGGTTTGAGGCCAGGCTGGGCTGCACTGGAGCTCCAGGTCAGCCTGAGCTACAGAATGAGATCTTGCCTCAAAGAAACAATAAAATGGCTTCTAGGCATGGAGGACTTCTGTGAGTACAAGGCCAGCCTGGTCTATATAGCAAGTTCAAGGACAATCAGCACTCCAAAACAGAATGAAGCAGTCTCAAAAACAAAAACCAATGAAATGAAAAGAATAGAAGTATCAATAGTAAGAAAGGATGGAGGAAGGAAAGGCAGTTAGCAACATTAAAATAAAACCGTCAGCTCAGGCAGTGTTTCTGAATGACACTAATCAACCGATAGTAGAAGCCTTGGCAGAGTCTAAAACTGGGCCAAAACTATATAAACACATCACAGACACTTCAAACAACAAAATGAGCTAAGGAAAAAAGGTGTCAACAATGTTCAAGTGTTTCCATCAGCTAAGTCTAGAGTAAAATTGAGAATCTTTGATATTTCATTCACAGCCTCCCATTTAAACATTTTTTAATTAAAACAATAATAGTTTGCTGATAGAGGGAGGGGAAAGGCCCTCTCTGTTAACAGTGTAACTTATCAAGGAACAGGTCTTGTCCCTTTGATTTTTATGACCCAGTTCCTCACTCTTCTCAGCCTATGAGCGTTCCACCATCAACAGAAAACCATGGTCCCTCCACGGTGCTTTTAAATGGGGACATTAGGAGATGATAGGGGTTAACAGATGGTGGAGTCAACAGATGATGGAGTTAGCAGATGATGACAGTTAAGGGATGATGGGAGTTAACAGATGATGGGAGTTATTAGCAGATGATGGGAATTATTAGCAGATGATGGGAGTTAGCAGTGATGGGAGTTATTAGCAGATGATGGAATTAACAGATGATGGGAGTTATTAGCAGATGATGGAGTTAGCAGATGATGGGAGTTAACAGATGATGGGAGTTAACAGATGATGGGAGTTATTAGCAGATAATGGAGTTAGCAGATGATGGGAGTTATTAGCAGATGATGGAGTTAACAGATGATGGGAGTTATTAGCAGATGATGGAGTTAGCAGATGATGGGAGTTATTAGCAGATGATGGAGTTAGCAGATGATGGGAGTTATTAGCAGATGATGGAGTTAACAGATGATGGAGTTAGCAGATGATGGAGTTAACAGATGATGGAAGTTAACAGTTCAAGAACTATACCTGCAGGCTTTCTTCTGGCTGCTTTCTGAAAGTCCAGGCAACACATTCCAATATCTTCTGGAATACTTCCTGGACCAAGTCAAAGAGCACTGTGACTTTTTCATCTGAATCTGTTTTTTGAATTATGGAGTTTCCTGTTATCTCCTTCAGAATTCCAAGAAGTAACGAAATGTAAAAAAATCCCTTCACTAGAAAGAAAAGGAGGATCATCCATTACGTACACACATATATCAGCTGAAATTACTTAATACATGTACGTAACAGGAACGTAAAAACCTGTCATTACTGAGTCAGCACTAAACATGTAAATCAGATTTTTTTTCTCCACATAACTGTAGGACTGATTTCTTCCCAAGCATCAACAGTACAGCTGACTCTGTCAGTAAACAAAGCACTGTTCACTTCGTGTGAACAATGACTGGCAGTATGACTCCTATAACACCTGAATTAGAAAATACAGACCTTCTTTTACATTAATACTTAGGTAAAAATCCATCAAGGACAAGTCCAACCTCACATCGCAAAATATCACTTGCTAGCATCATAAGTTTCGGATACTTGGCTGTAGATTATTGGTTTCCTTTGGTGTTTTGTTTTTGTTTTTTTGTTTATTTGTTTTGTTTTTGTTGTTTTTTTCTTCTTCTTCTTCTTCTTCAATTACCTCCCTGACTGGGTATATAATCTGGCAAAATTCATTCTGTATATAAACCTAATAACACTATTCCTCCATTTTTATTTCTAATCAATATTGCCAGTAAAAGCTATAAAAGCAGAGACAGTGGCTTGCCCCCAGTAAGCTCCAGGACACCCCATGTCCCCCTTCCCCAGTCTAACAGATGGCTCAGGTGCTGATTAGACCTTGACTTGTGGGTACCAGACAGAAAGCTTCCCAGCAGAACCCATGGTACAAGACACATTGAAATGAAACAGGCATGCAATAGAGCACAGAAATGATGGTTCTCATACCACAAGGACTGGCCCAGAGAGTGGGCCCAGATATGAAAGGTAAAGCCATTCAGCTACAAAATGGACCAAAGATACAGCAAGCTCTGCCAGAGAGCACAGACAACCATACCCCAAACCTTCCCACTAAGGAAAGGCAGACTTCCCATCCCAGAGGCTCTCTATGAATCCTCACTAGGTCTAAGACTCTGCCAAAATCGATAAGCAGCTTTGCAAAAATGACTAAAACCACAACAGAAACTTTCCAGGAGCTACTACTCTCTCATTCAGAGAAGCGTGGGAGAACCCATTCCTCACATACATCTGTCATGGGGAACATCCACCAATGAGACAGGTGACGAGCTCTTTGAACCTGGACACTGCTAAGACACTGTTCTGAGGTGGGAAGATCCACCTTTCATCTGGGTCACACCTTCTGCTAGCAGCCTATGTAAGGACGAAGCTAGATCTCTTTCCCAGCTGGCTCTCACCCTGCCAGCAAGTCCACTGCTCCACTGGCATTAGAACCTACTTCTTCGGGTTTCCAGCATATTCTTAAGACCAGCTGAGATATCAAGCCGAGTGGACTAAACAACTTCTGGACTCGTGGACCTTCCGTTGACAGACAGCCATTGGTGGATTAGCTGGACCACAGCCTGAAGGCCGTTCTAACAAATCCCCTTTACAGATAAGAGTCACTCCATGAGTTCTGCTCCTATAGAGCACTGACTAATGCACAGACAAAGGAGCTGCCTCCTCCTCACTTGTTCCTCGGAGGGGGTAGTCTCAGTAACACGGAAAAGAACCTAGAAAGCTACAAATTTTAACCGTAACTTATTTTATTCACTGTACGTAACAAACTGCTAACAACGGGCCAGGACTCATGGCTACAGCCAAAAACTGTGCTGATCTACAGTCAGTGCTGAGAGCCCTCCCCAGGGCACAGCTCAAAGCCAGAAGACAAGTCATCAATCTGAAACTCAAGTAGAGCTGGCTCTGTGGCTCTCCCCAGGATGCCAAGGACCTGCCAACAAACAGACAGCTTACTACTGCAGCAAGCACATCAAGACAGGGAGAGAGCCGCACGTGTGAGCTGTGGCACAACCTCCTGCACCATCTCTAAACTCATATGTGACAGCCTTGGTCTCTGAGCTGCTAGAGGCCAGCTGTCTTATATTACTCTACGGCAATGGCCTTTTTCTTTCAAAGCCCTAGATTTCTAAAGTCTTTACCTTTACAAATTCAACATTACTTGTTAATTGGGCTGGTATCTTTCGGTAAGAAATCTTCTCCCACGGCCCCGTTACGCTTGGTGCCTGAATTTCAACAATCATTGCACTGTGCTAAGTCTGTGAGCTTAGACCCCTAATCTACTTGGTTTATGCAGCTGGCCACCCAACTGTGTCCCAGGAATGGCTTCTTTAGAACACATATTTGGGCCTATAAAGAACACCACACTTAGGCATAATTAATATTAGCTTATGTGGTGGTCTGAATGAGAATGGCCCCCATGAGCTCTGATACTTGAATACTTGGAAGTATTAGAACGTGTTACTTGGTTGGAGGAGGTGGGCTTTGGGGTCTCAAAACCCATGTCACTTCCAGTGAGCCATCCCTTTCTCTGCTGTGTCTCAACATGTACGCTCTCATCTACAACTCCTGCTCCACGCCTGCCAACTTGATGCCGTGTTCCCTGCCACAAGAGTCCGGGCCGTGGGAAGCCGGGAGACGACAGCTCTGTACCTACTCTTGCATCAGACAGCATCGCTGGCCCTGGTTCCTGTGTGCCACCCTCCTGGCCACACCACTCACAACCTTCTTTGGGGACAGCTTCCACGCAGAAGCCAGGAGGAAAAGTCTGCCCACCAGCAAGGCAGACCCAGGGAGCAGAGCCCCAAGGACCCTGTCAGAAACTAGAGCGTGTGCCTGGCATGAGAAGCATCTCCGAGACTGAGAGGTGGGTTAGCCAGCAAACAAAGGCCAGCATGTGTTCCATGCCAGTGCTTGGGAAGCCAGATTCTGATCTTCGGAGGGAGGGAGTGGGGGATGGAAGGATGGGCCAGCCATCGACATGTATTGCTCTCAAACAATGCTTTAGTGGAGAAATGACGTTGAGTACCTGTTCTCATTATTCCAAGACTCCGCTGTAGAAGCTGTATCTGAAACTCAGGGTCTCCAAGGCCCACCATGACAACGTCTTTACCCACAGCCAGGTAAGTCTGTAAGGCACACATGGGTTCAACAACAACAAAAGCCATTTAAAAGGGAAGAAAATCAAGCCCAGCAAAGCCTCCCCTGTGAAGTCGTACTAAAACTGTAAACATCTTACAGCGGAATTTCCATAATTCATACATTTGCAGCATTTCTATAGGAACTCTGTAGATATTTTATGCAAGTCCACCAACTTAACCAAATACCCATCACATACAAGATGTGAAACAACATTAAAATTATGCAGAACATGCTTTGTATTAAAAAAAGAAAAAGCCATTCTTGGCATTGCAAAGCAGCACCAGGGTCTAGACCCACTTTACAACAAAATAAACAGTCTTGAAAATACAGCACGCTGACCTGGATAACTTGCTGATAGACGTCCCTCCGCAGCTTCAGATACTCCTCTTCTTGGTCTTGAAGAAGAGGTAAAACTTTGTTTTCCAACCAAGACCCAGTTTCACTCAAGATGGACAGATGAATTTTCTCTTCTGAGCAGAACTGACCAACACAACAAAGAAGCAAGTTAAGAAACAAAGGCACCTAGATACAGGATGCTCACAACACCAGAACCAGGCAGCCTACCTTGTACTGAAGATGGACGCTCAGCCTGCAGTACAGACCAAAGGCATGCAGGGCAGCCGCTTTGTTGAAGTTGAGGGGATTCCCACTCGGAGACTGAAGACATGATTCCAGATCTGCCTGTAAAATCACAGCCCTGATCTATAGGCAAACCAGAGGGGTAACTGCAGCGGCAGCTCTCTCTGCTATCCCTGCGCCCGAGCACCGTTGGCTGAGTGGGCTTTAGAGCACACGACAGTCAGCAGGTGCACAGGGCCCCACTGCACTCAGGGACCACGGTTCATCTCCTGGGTGGCAGCAATGAGGACTCTTGGTGCAGGTCAGGGCCAGTGCAGCAGGGGAACTCCCAAGGGCCCCGGGGCACAGGGAAGTCACCTCACTCACTTTCCGAGATTCCTAAAAATACAGCTGAAGACTCTGAAGAGAGCTAGTAATCACTCACTGACGCCTGGTCCTGGACAGCCTACCCTGAGACAAGGGAGACAAGTGTGGTGGCCCGCCCTGACACACTGGAAACCTGGGAGCGCTCTAAACACTGTTTGTGAGGACACGGGTCCTGGAAAAGGCACTGTTCCCGGCCTCTCCTGTCCACCTCAGAGTCCTTCAGGACGATCATTCTCAATTCCTTCACAGCTTGCAAGAAAACGATGCATCTTACTGCACCACTGTTACTACTGTTACTACATTTTAACCTCCAGGATGAGTGGTTACCTTGGATCCCTCAAGGTCTTTTAAAAGCTGGTTCAGTTTCTTCTGGGGTGCAGAGAGCAGACACTCTCGATTCTTTGGATGGGTCAGCAGATACTCCATGTACAACAGGGCTAACTCGGGTTTCACTGGGCATGTGTCACTGATTTGCGCTTTACGTTTAGAGGCCAAATTACTCTGAAGAAGAGCAGTGGAACAAAGAGGCGGTCAGAGCTTACGTCCCCAGGGCGCCGTACAATCTCCAATGCCCCTCCTTCTCCACACGCCAGAGAGGCGTGGCTGTGTATACACACCTTGGCCTGAGGTGGCCTTGTAGGCAGCCAGTCAACGATGAGCTCCAGGACATGCCCCACTTGCCCCCAGGAACACAGACAATCCAGCAAGGTACAGTAGCTCCTGCCTGTGACACCCTCCTCCTGACTTCTCAGGACAGAGATCACGCCACAGCTGGAGAGTCAAGCACAGAGGACCAGGTTAGCATCCCTACAGAAAGCCCCCACTGTCCCACAAGGTGAGGAGAAGCGGGACACAATCTGACTGCATGAAGGGTAGGTACACCACCCGCACAGGTACACCGGTACTTGCTATCCTGCAAATCCCTTAATAGACTACAGCTGCAAAAGGACACGCCCCATACCTCACCCGCCTTCTGTTTCTAGTGACAGCTGTCAGAGTCCAGAGGTGGTCCTAACTTAGGGCACAATTATTTTCCTTTTTCTTTTCATATAATTCTATAAAAATTTCATGTAATGCCTATCATGCTTCCCCCTTCCCCATCTCCTCCCCACTTACCCACCCACCCGACTCCACCTGCTTACTTCCTCTAAAAAGCAAAGACACACACACACAATTTTAAAAACAAAACACAATATTAGAAACCCAAATATCCAAACAAAAGACAAGCATGGGACATTAATGTTTGTTATGCCACAAAACGTTCACTCTGGAGGCTGGCAAACTAGCTCAGCACATAACCACCAAGTTTGATGACTTGAGTGATGGGAGATCTCATTCTGTAAATATGTTTCTGTTATTGGTTAATTAATAAAGCCCTGTTGGCCAATAGGAAAGCAAGATAGGCGGGACTAGGAGACAAGGAGGATTCTGGGAGATGTAGTAGAAGAGTCAAGATGTAGGGACATGAGAGGAATTAGTCCAGACCCTCTCTCAGGTAAGATAAAACCATGTGAAAACACTTAGATTAATAGAAATGGGTTAATATTTAAGACAGATTTAGCCAATAAGAAACACTAGTAACAGGCCAACAGCTTTATACCTAATACAGCATCTTTGTGTGTTATTTGGGGCTTGTGAGGCTCTGGGACCAGGATGGCGGGAAAACTGCTCGTAACACTTGAACATGATTCCCAGAATCCACAAAGGCTGTACTTTGGCCTCCACACTCTGTGGCACGCGCATGTATGTGTGTGTGTGTGTGTGTGTATGCACATACAAACAAAACTCATTTTAAAAAACATTTTCTTTTCTTTTGAGTGTAAATAAAACCAAACAAGTTTTACTCTTAAGCAACAAACTCCAGAACTACACAGCCTAATAAAAAATAATATGCAAGGGCTGGAGAGATGGCTTGGTGGTTAAAAGCATTTAGTTCCCAGCAACCACATGGTGGCTCACAATCACCTGTAACTCTAATTCCAGGGGATCCAACATCTTCTGACTTCCACTGGCTCCTGCAATCACATACACTTGACATGCGTGTGTGCGCGCGCACACACACACACACACACACACACACACACACACACACACAGACACCTGCACACTTTTTAAATTAGTTCATTAATAGAAGCTCCGTGACCAAAGGCATAATATCCATATGCGCAAGCTCACCAGCCACATAATAAAAGGTTGTGTGTCAACTACATACAGTGTAAAGAGAATCAGAGAAATGGATTTTAGCAGTTCAGTTCAGTCTAAGTACTTGGAGCCAAGTGTGGTCAGCAGTGGCCCCAGGCTCTCGAGCTTGGCACTCTGGATATGAGAATAATACCCAGACATCAGGTGAAGTCACAGTTGAGTCCCTCCCTTGTGGTCTCTTTGACAACCTCAGAGCCCCCTGAAATCACATCCTGACAATCTCTCCATACAGAGGGGAAGGCAGGAGGGAGAAACAGAGTAGTGGTCAGCAAATCCCAGAGGGCACCCTTGCTTTGTGGCAGCATACCTGAACACAGGGACAGCAGAGGCTGGCAGGAAGGACATCAGCATGAACAAAGGGATCTTGCAGCGCTCGTCCTATAAACACATACACACACACACACAAAAAGAGAAATAAAGCTACCATGGGATTTGACATCAGGATATTTTCCCTAACAAACTATTTCCACAGTTGCTCGAAAAGTACTCCAACGGTTATTCAGTCTCTTGAGGACATCAAATCTAAAGGTGCCCCTCAGGTTTGCGGTTGCCAATACTTGAACGGAACATTCTGACATCTCTGTATCACCTTCACTATGCAGCAAGTACAGTCATGGAACTATTATTTATTTACTTGCAAAACAAGTCAAGGAAAAGCGTTCGGCTAATGTTGTACAAGACGAGCCAGACAACGTTATCTGAGGGAATGCGTGTGCTTTGCGGCTACAAAGTAAACCTCAGTCTGAGCAGATCCTGCACCTAAACGCTGGTAAAACAGAGGAAAATGCCTGGGTTCAGTTAGTTTCCTCCTCCTACAACGCAGAGTGCTAGTAAAGACTGCATGAACAGAACCACAGGAAGCAGGCAAGGTGAAGCGTAAAGTGTGCTAAGCGTAAAGTGCAACAAGCTGTGGCTTAATTATTCCAACTATTGTGACAACAGGGTAGGCTGAGCAGGTTTTAATTGCTCAGAATCCATCAAGAACACTTGGATGGGGAGGTGGCTTCAGTGGTTAAAGTCCTTGCTATTGAGTCTGAAGACTGGATTAAGCAAGGAAGGATTCCCAGAGCCCATGTAAATCCTGCAATTCCAGTCCTCGGAAAGGAGGGACAAGGGATCCTCAATTCAAGCAGGCCAGCTAAACGAGCCATATTGAAGAGTTCCTCAAAATAAGCATGAAGGCAGAAAGAGGAACAGAATTAAAGAGAGATGTATTATTCACCTGCGTTCAATTATTGTGGCCACCTTGACCCCTAACTCCCAGCATCCATGGTAAACATGACGGCAAGAGTAAACAGCACGGAGATATTTCTGAAAACCCTGATCACGCGTGACACATATGTGGGTAATACACTCAGGAGTTCAATTTTAACCATCCCACAAGTTACACATACTCCAAACATCACACTTAAAAAGCGTAAAATCTTTTATCTGCCAACTAAAAGTATCTTTTTGCACATGTTCTACAAAGGCAACGGGGAGGAGGGGGCGATATTAAGGGTGGGAAGGGTTAGTGTGGGTAGGAGGAGGAGGAGGAAGGAGAAGAGAGAATAGGGAGAGGGTGAACTAGAACCAGGGATTATTGAAAAGCCTTACAGAAACTCACTCACTACTAATTAAAAGTATGCTTCTCTTTCACTGTGATTGAATCGTGGGACTCTGCACGAGGGTCTGATGCTACTCCTCGAAAACATGGGTTATTAAGTGAAAATCCTAGTGCCTGGCATGGGGTTCCTCTCAGTTGTTAAGGGAGGTCAGAAAGGAGACTCAAGTGACACAGGCTATTATTGCCAGTGCTCTTGGTAGGACCTAGATGCTGAAGACACACACACCATGACTGCAGGACAACAGAGATCAAGCTGTAACTGAGCTAAAGCCTTCCTCCACCAGGCTGGCCTGCTGTGCAAGCTGTCAGGAAAGGCACCGATGGCCCTTCGCTGCAGCAGACCCTGGAAGAAACTGTGCTGACATGCCAGGCGAGATGCATCCGCAGACACTGTTTCTCTGTCTACCTTTCTGTAGACCAGGCTGGCCTCGAACTCACAGAGATCCGCCTGTCTCTGCCTCCCGCGTGCTGGGATTAAAGGTGCGTGCCACCACTGCCTGGCACAACCACTTTTTTTTAAAAAAATGAGTTAAGGCCTACTCCACAGGACTCATTTCAAAATTGGCCAAAAGCCATGGTTAGGGTATAAGTCCTAAGGGGACAGCTACTGCTTTTGCTTTTGCTAAATGGGTGTGTGTTACAGAATATCTGTTTATAAACGTGTATTACATTTGTTTATGTTGCAGAATACTTGTTTAACTATGCAAAGATGTGTTCTTATATTTGTTTAATTATGTAAAGATGTGTTGCTATTTTACCTTGCCTGCCTAAGGCACCTGACTGGTCTAATAGAAAGCTGAATGTACAATATCCAGGGAGGAGGTCTAGGTGGGACTTCCAGGACAGGAGAGTATGGAGGAGGAGGAATTCAGGCTTGAGGAAGAAAGAAAATGAGACACCAGGATGTTGTCAGGGGCCAGACAGACACAGAGGAAGCAGGAAAGTAGGACATACAGAAAGGTAGAAAAGTCCCAAAGCAAAACATAGATAGACTAGAAAGAAGCTAAATTAAGCTAAATGAGCTAGTGAGACAAGCCTAAGCTAAGGCTGAGAATTCATAATTAATAAGCCTCTGTCTGTGTCTTTATTTGGGAGCTGGTAGGTGGCCTAAAGAAAATTCCAATCACAGGTATGCTGTCAAACCGCTTTCTAAACCTGCAGATTTAAACCCAGAGATTGATGCTGGTTTCAGCCTCGGTCGGAGCAGGCTATTTTTGTGGTAGGCATCAATTAATTCAGAGACCAGAACGGGTCAAAGTTCCGACACTGACTATTGAGTACTCAGCTCCAGATGGGACACCTCCATCAACTCCTACCCTAACAACACTCAGGGGACACCTCAGAAGAGGTAGCAGAAAAAAAAAAAAAAAAATGTAAGAGTCAAAGAAGAGGAAAACTTCTGTTTTCCAGACATGACGTGGCTATGGCACCAGTAAACTCAGGAGAGGCTGTGCTTAGCTGGAGAAGACCTACACAATACTGATCCCATAACATTCCAGCATGGAATGAGCTGAGGGCCCCACTCCTAGCTGTTAACAGCAGCTGGGCGAGAAGTCATCTTGTGTATGCAAGCAAGCAACCCCATTGAACTCAGGAGATAAAAAGTTCTGAAAAGGCTTAAAGAGGGCGTGTTGGGAAGCAAGGGCAAAGAGGGTGAGAGGGGAGTGAGGGAGGGGAATAGGAGCGGTGAATAGCATCAAACTCATGTCAATGTATACTTTAATACATCCATGTACTTATTATGTATAGGAAAGCTTTGTTGTATGTGTATGTGTTTTTGGTAGAAATCTTCTTCAATCACTCGTCACCTTTTTATTGAGATAGAATCTATTACTGAATCTACAGCTCACCAATTTAGTTTAGACTGGCCAGTAAGCCCCGACCCTCCTGTCCTGTCTCTGCCTTCATCTCCCCAGGGCTGAGATTATAGGTACATGCTACCACGCTCAACTTCTGTATGGGTGTTTTGGATCAAACTCAGATACTCATGGCTGTGCAGCAGGCACCTCACCAAATGAGCTAGCTCCCCAGTGCCTAAAAGTACCTCTCAGTTAAACTGATGTAATCTGTCTGCCTTGATAAGACAGACACAATTTACACTCCAGGGAGGATCTGCTTCCTGTGTAGCCTCAAACACCTTACGAAGGGCCGACAAGATGTTCATAGATGTTCATAGAACAGAACCGTCTTCCCTGAACTGCAAGTAGATTAGATCTCCAACATCAGAAAGAAAAGCTAAGGGCTCACAGTGGACAGCCCCCTGGGTACCAGGGATTCATAGCAGAGGGGAGAGATGCTAACCTCATGACACCCTTCCTGTGCTCACACAAGACAGAGCTTCCATTGCAGACGAAACCAATGTCAAGAATGGCCCGGGCTCACCTTGAACACCTTCAGGTACTCTGGAAGCACACATGCAAACTTGTCAATGGTATAACCTTTGGCCTCTTTATTATTTTCCAGACTTCGATGGATGGTCTTCCAGAGAATCACAATTACTTCGAGTAAACCCGCCATGGACGCAGTGTCATTCACCGACAAGGTTTTGTCTAGGACCTAAGACGTAAATAGTGTTACTGTGAAAGAATCCAATAACAAGAATTAAAAGGCAAATGTAATTTTTCAAAAGTACATCTCAGAACTGCAGGCACAAAAACAATGTAAAAATAGTAACGTCAACTTCCATGGCACAGTAAAACTTTCTTCTCTACTTTAGAACCCATCTGTACCAGGAAGGCAGATTTGTTTCCAAATTCCAGCCAAGAAATAAATGCTAAATTAACTCAATATTCTTTAGTGAGGCAGTGTGTATGAATCAAAATGTTTCTAAAAATCAGAAACTAGCGCTTTCTACCACACACCCCAAGAGATCATACTACACTGCTAGGCAACTGCTGAGCCTGGCTGTACAACACTGGCCTGCTCCTGCAGGCGCTGCTTTGGAACACTTTCTTTCTGAGGCCGGCAGGACAGAACTCACAGGCGTCGACAACCCCTAAAATCACAGCTTCCTATGGCTCACTGAAAAAACAAACCTTTTTAATAGTTTCCTGTTGTGCTGGTAGTACACGACCACCCCACACCAGAAAGCTGAGTGCAAACAGGACTTGCAAACCGAAACCCCTCTCCCAGAGCTGGTGACCAGCCCTGGCGTGCCACCTGTACAACAGTGGCTGACCACGGACACAGACACAGATGAAGGAAGTGACTTCCTAACGCGGAGATGAAGAGGACAGGCTCAGCTTAGTTTTAACCACTCAAATGTGACTACAAAACTGATGTTCAAAGAATGCAAAGACGCAGACATAGTTTCTTCACAAGTTAGCTATGTCAGCAGGCACTAAACGCTTCGAAATGTGGTAAGGCCAATCAGACTCAGAAAGCAACCTGTTAGCGGTCGGGGTGCTAGGAGAAGGATAATGTGACAAACCCATCAGAGGTTTGATTCTGGGTTTGGCCTTACTTTTCCTGTGCTTTATAAACAGAAAAGGAATTTATTGGAGCACACTTACATTTACACTGAGCATTACAGCACGTGATCAACACATACAGACAGCCTAAGAAATATAAGTAAGTTTATTTATTTTAAAATAAACCACAGAAGCTCAATACTTTAGGACAGCAGCCTCATTAAAATTTATGAAACCTACATTTTTCCTTTGAGAATAACACTTGAATAATGTACCAGGCTCTTAAGTTATGGTTCCTTAGTTTATTTTAGCAGGCTAGGCTAAAATACTTTAGCAATACTAGGCTCCTAAATAATAGTTCCAAAATTTTATTTTAGCAGAGACTATCTTTGGATGTTACTGTAAGGCCATGAGAAAATCATTCGTGTGTTTATCTGGTTACGTGTTTGTGACAGGGTCTCTTTACATAGCCCTGGCTGTCCTGGAACTCACTCTGCAGACTAGGCTGGCCTTAAACTCAGAGATCGCCTGCCTCTACGTCCCATGTGATGGGATTAAAGGTATATGCCTTCCACCATGAGAAAATCTTAAAAGACTTCTTCAAATATTGGACATGGTAGTGTGTGCTTATAAACCCAGAACTCAGAAGGCTAAAAACAAAATGAATCATTTTAGCTACATATGTGTTCTTAGAATACCTATGTGACAAGTTACACATTTTGTCTAACATGGGTTACAATGTTACAAAGCTGTGTATTCTAAAGCCCCATCAACCTAGAATGAGAATTTATATAACCAGTTAGGTATTCTGTACATAGGGCACAATGGAAATCACTGTCTTTCTCAGTACTATCTAGCCACAAGGGTAAAGAAATTCTCAACTAGTACATTACTAGATTCATGTTCACTTTTGCAAAGTCGTTTTCAATCCCAACCCGTAAGGCTACATCGGCCCACCTCTGTCAGTGCCAACCAGCTACCTCACATGCCAGTCTGATCTGCAGATCACCTGACTGATTAGAGCACAATCTGCATGATGGCTCGTGTCTCCCTGAAAAGCTTCACACACCCTATCTACAATGCAGGAAGAGTACAAGGGGCTCGAACTCTTACGGATCAGATAGCTCTGAACACATGAAAAATGCAACGGTCAGCCACGGTATGAACGTGAAATCACAGTGTTCTATGTACTGTTTTCTCTTTCCAGTCCACATCTACTTTCCTGTATTTCTTCAGCAGTTTCTACTGACCAGTTTCAGAGCAGTCTAGCCAATCGAGGGACACAGACAAAGGGACATCTACCCGAGGTGGGGCTGGATGACTATCAAGATGCGATGGGGGGATCGGGGAGATAACCACGACACTGGCAGGGAAGCCACCACATACAAGGGGCAGCCTGAATATAATTGCCCACCCTTTCTAGATGGGTCACAGGGTAGCCAGGGCCTGGACATCCTGGACATGTAGTAAGCATACCTAGCACAGAACTTTAGCAAAGGAAAACTGGTTTTGTGATTTTTTTTTTTTTTTTCCTTCTATACAAACTTCTGATCTATTTGGATACAAAAAAAAAAAAAAAAATCCTTCAAATTTTACTTTAGATATCCAAATCCTAAGTGTCCATATATAAGCTCAAGATACTGCTTGCAAGCAGTTAAGTGTATTTACGCCTTAACTATTATTGGACACTTCGAGTTTCAAAAAAAGAGCAGCTAATTAAAGACAACTCTACAAAAAATTTGCACCCAAAAGTTCATCCCCAAAATGTTTCTAGAAGAACCTCCTATCAGTGACTCTGACAGACGCCAGCTCCATGTCCAGAATCTAGATCAACAGTATACACCTAAGAATAGAACACAGACATGCTCAGAGCAAAGAGACAGGAAGGACACAAGTTGCCCTCGGTAAGAACATTCTTTTTTAAAAAAATATCCCTCCAGACTCTAAATGTTAAATACAAAAGGTATTCTACAATTCTTTAGAAGATATAACTTACAACCATTAAAAAAAAACTGTGCTTAAGTGTCTTTACAGGGACAAGTGGTAAATAAGAACATTCTATGCATTGGTATAGAAATGACACCAAGACAAAGTCTGCTTGCCACTCACACTGGTGTTCTCCTTCTCACACTCCTTATGGGCCCCCGGGCACTCTTGCAGAGTCCTCTGGATACAGGCATTCAAGCAGTGGCGGATGACGTGGATGAGCTTGGCTAAAGTGGGTTAAAATAGTCAATACATGCACCTTCTGTAAAATTAACTTTCTAATTAGAAAACTATAATCTCAGACAGTAAAGAGAATGACTTTCAGGAAATCCACTAAGAGATGCAAGAGAGCATGCAGCTCACTCAAGTGACAAATACTGAACATCTGCAGCATGGGCTATGCTGGGGCGGGGGAGGAGCAGGACGCGGGGAGGGCAGAGATTCAGACCTATGTTGGTGCTGGCGGTGTGTTCGTGGGCATACTGATAGAACTTCCTGGCCGCTGCACGGTTCATCTGGATCAGCGTGACACAGCGCTCACACCACACCTCCTCTGGCTGGTTCACAGGCAGGAAAGAATTGAAGATGAGGGTCACCAGGCGCCGAGACACAGGCCGAGAATCTATTTCCAGGCGAACCAAAATGTCTTCCATGGGGCATATTTTCCAAAACTGGAGGGTAAAAGTGGAGACTACTGGAGTTCCCAGGGCATAACCAAAGGACTAATTTTTATATGCAAGAAAAATCAGAATCTAACTTTCATGTGAACAAAAGTAACAAGTCTACATTCTGAAGAAATGTCACATGTAAGGCACAGCAGGAGGAGAGATCCACTTTGATTTCTTAGGGATATGACTAGCGCGCAAACAATAGCTGTGATTAACCAAGATCACCACTTCTACATTTGTAGACTCACTAAGCCATTGATTGATCTAGTAACAGAAGTATTTTAACCTGTTAATACTTTCGAAATAGGCAGCCTATTCATCTCTTAACAGACTCACGGCATCCTTCCTCAACATGCTAGGACAGCTGACCTGCTCTTTTTACCGTGGGCAGTCTCCTTATCTAGCTCTGCAGCTCCCACAGTCACACATCCCTCAAGAGATACAATTAGCACTGATTGTTGGTGGTGATTTGTTTGTTGTTTTTTTTTTTTTGTTTGTTTTCAATCGGGGTCTCAAGTATCCTGGCCAGCCCTGAACATATTTTATAGCTCAACATCACCTTAAATGCCTGATCTTCTTGCCTCCACCTCCTGAGTGCTTGAATTACAGGTATACACCACCTTTGTGTATGATAACGCAGGTGTTCTACCAATTAAGTTAAAATCCCAACTCTAGCACAGGCTTCTGGCACCTGGGCAGCTCCCCCACAGGGGGGCCCATTTCTGTCCTTAACAACACACACACACACACACACACACACACACACACACACACACACACACGTGCGCGCGCACGCACGCACTCACTTCTTGGCCAAAGGCCAAGTCCAGATAAGTTAAATGTGAGTGCAAGGCACAAGCTGTCACACTAGCAGACATGTGGGTGACATTGTTCCTAGCAATGGATATTCCAAAGGATAGCCACTGGCACTCAGTGTTATCGTTTGCCCAAGCTAGCCTCAGTGGTAGAACACCTGCCTAGCATTCACAAGGCCCTGAGTTCAACCCCCCAGCATCAAGAACATAAAGCTGAACTGGAGGTCAACTTTTGTGTCTTCTTTATTGTGTCAACAGACTGGCCTGTGCCCAGTGCACACTTACCACGTTACAAGCAATGCATTGGTTTAAAAAAGAAAAAAAAAAAAAAGTCTTCATCTAACCTTTGCAAGTGATAAGTAATACTTAATTCCTTACCATGTGCTAAATATGTATAGGCACATCAAATATTTCGATACTTTTAACACGTAATAAAACATGTAAAGGGAAGGACGTGCAGGATGGATCACAGGCAGAGGTGCCGGTCTCCAAGCCTGAAAACCTGAGCTCAATCCCTGGGACCCACACGTGGAAGGAGAGCGCTGACTCCCACAAGCAGTCCTCTGACCTCCGTACGCATACGGCGCACACGTGCCCGCCACACAAGAGATAATACTTACAAAATATGTAAAGGCGATTGCTTACATTGGTATCTTTCCAAAAGGAAGCATGCATTCTTCCCATGAGAAACACAAAACAAAGTTTTATGACAATCTAGCAAATACACTGGTTGTCGAGCTGATTAAAATGTAACTGTGAAGGTTCTTAGAATTAAAAATTAGTCTTTCTGTTGGGGGATCACGAAGGTGCTTTGTGTGTTTCAGTCTTCTCTAAGAGCGCCCTACTTACCTTTGCAGCTCTCACAGCTTTGATTTTCAGCAACAAATCCACAAAAGCCACCCTCACTTTCTCTGAATTATCGTGGAGACTATACCTGAGCGGTGGCAGAAGCTGTTCTAATAAGGGGTGGCTCAGCTTGTTATCCAAAATAATTGGCAAGCACTACAGAGGAGAGAGGAAAGCGTTTCAAAATCAGAACACAACAATAAAACGTTTAGACATCTAAGGTGACACTGAGTTCTATTCCTGCCAGAAAACACCACCCCCGTGCAAGTTCCACATCTAAGATGTGCTTTGGGGCAGCTGGGATGGCGCAGCATGGCATTCCAGAGGTAAAAGTGAGGGCTTCTATGGTACCAGTGACCAGTGCTATGCAAGGTAGACGCTTTATACAGGAAGCACTTCTCTTCTTCGAAACAGGGCCTCCAGGCAACTCGGGCAGACTCGAAACTCAGAATTCTCCTGCCTCACCCTCCTGCGTATTTCTGGTGCTATAGGTCTTGGTTACACACCTGCCTAGAAAATACTTTAAATCTGGATTTTCAAAAGCTTAATCTGGAGCCTGAAAAGACTGCTCAGCAATTAAATCATATACTGCAACTGGCAAAGGACTCAAGTTCAGTTTCTGGCACCCATGGTAGATGGCTCACAACCGCCTTTAATACCAGCACCACGGCTGGTGAGAGAGCGAGCTGGCCCCGAGAACGTGAGTGTGAGAGACCGAGCCCCGCCCCTCATCTACCATATGATGGTGAGGGCCAGGGAGAAAAGTACTCCCCCCCCCCTCCCCAAGCTCCTTGAGGACTTTGGTAGACAGGAAAGCCATCCCCGAGGTCCCTAGAGCGAGAGAGCTGGCCCTGCCTCTCACCGGCTGCAGCACTAGGCGGAGTGGCCCCTAACCCTTGACTAGGCATCACAGCAGCGCTGACCCTGGTGGTGTAGGTGTGGGAGAGCTGACATGGAGAGCAGGAGAATGAGCCACGAGCCTTGCTGCTTACTAGACAGGGTGAGCTAGCTGAGGCAGTACTGGAGAGCTCACCCTGGTGTCGAGGGTGAAGGAGAGCTGGCGGATGAGCCAGCACAGCAGCCACCCAGACCGCGAACCAGAGCTATGGGTTGGCCCATCCCATCACCCCCCCCCCCCCACCAACCATCTATGATCTGCTGGGGCATATGAAGGGGTTGGTCCTGCAGACCAATCATTACAGGATCTCCATTGACACAGGACAACAACAGGATATCCAAGAGAAGCCCCGGCGAAGGCCAGGTATTAATGATGTAGAAAAAAAAAAACCCAGACCTCAAACTAGATTAACAACTCATTGCAACGAAAGCTCACAAGCAACAGTGCATGGACTAAAGGACTGTGCGACTCACTATGCCACCGCTAAAGCTTCCACAATGAGATTTTTCTTTTACACTCTGACCTCTTTTACCCTGGGGGAGGGAGGGTCTCACAAAGGGAGAGGGAGAAGTAGGAAGGGACAGGGAGATGAGTGGGATCAAGATGCATGATGTGAAATCCACAGAGAATCCATAAAAAGTTAAATTGGGGGAGTGTGGGCAGACAAGCTCCAAGCGGATCCAACACCTCTAGCTACTCTAGCAGAGGGCCTAAGTTCGACTCCCAGCGCCTGCATGAAGGTTCACAACCATCTATAACTACATTTCCCTGCAACTCAACACTCTCCTGGCATCAGTGTGTACCAGGTACACACACAGCATAGAGCCAAAGCACCCACACACACACTTTTTTTTTTTCATTTTAAAGATAAAGGAAATTTTACATAAAAAAAAAATATTTAACGTTCTGGTCTAAAAACACAACCACAGCTGGGTGGTAGTGGCCCATGCCTTTGTCCCCAGCACTTGGGAGGCAAAGGCAGGCAGATCTCTGAGTTCAAGACCAGCCTGGTCTACAGAGTAAGTTCCAGGACAGCTAGGGCTACACAGAGAAACCCTGTCTTGAAAAAACAAAGGGGGGGGGGGGGGAAGAGAGAAAAGAAATACGAATACAACCACAGTATCAATAACATTTTCCCTACTGAGCAGGACAATAGGTGATTTTCTAACATTTTCCTTTTCTCTCTATTTCCTAAAAATCCCTGTAGTTCTACAAAACTATTCTACAATAAAAATGTTATCTTTAAACCTTTAAAAACCCTACCTTAAAAACAGAACAGCGAACGTCAGCTGAGCTGATATCAAATGCCAGCTCCCCTGTGACTTTCTTCAAGAGGTCCACGATAATGGTTGGGGGCATCATTTCCCAGTATTTACACATTATTTTACAAACGCCAAGGATGCCTGTGGAACGGACCCTCGGGTAAGGATCTTCTAAAAGGCTCTACAAGTAGGAGAGGGAGGAGGGAAAAAAAGGTTACAAGTTTGTGTTACGTATTAGCATTCTGGGAATTTAAAACATTGGACACTTATGGCTGTGGAGATACTGGCCATTCAGTCCACGTCCCTAGGTACCCTCCTCCAGGGCACCAGTTCCAGGATGCTAAATCTGCAGCTGTTCAGTCCCTCATATAAAACCACACAACATCAACCCATGCTTCCCATATAGGGGTTAGATGAGCAGCTGTCCCACTATATTGTTTGCAGACTAAAAGGCATGAAATAAAACTGGACACGTCTCATCGGGTGTCACAGACGGAGACACTGGAAAGGCCAACAACCCGCCCAAAGCCACAAACTTATCACATATGGTATCTATCGGTAGAGTCAGTCTGAAGAGAAGTCAAAGTGACAGACAACACATGACTACTGGGGACAAGGCATGCACACCCATTATCGCGAAAAACCACATAAGGAGACCTAACGGAATGTTTCAAGAGTGACCAAAAAGAGGAGGGAGGGAGCCTGTGGATCTGGGCTCCCTGGGGACATGGGCGACATGGGTACTCCTCTGCAAGCCGGCCCTGCTGGCAAGCATCGGCCCTGCAGCTAGCTACAAGGCACACAGGTTAGCAAGCAATGAGTGCGCCCCACAGCAGTACGTACGTATAGTTCCTCAAACTGTTTCTGGATTTCGCTGTCCATCTCAGTGGCAATGAAGTTTGGGTCTCTAACAGGAAATGCTTCCACAAACAGCAATGCAGCGTTCGATCGAACTTCAGAATTTCTGGCCTATAAAAGTACAGGTCCTTTTACAAGTCCAGAGAGTCCAGTGTCCCCAAACTGATACTTCCACAGTTTCCCAAATTAATTCCCAAATTAAAGATCATTTCCGGGGCTGGCAAGATGGCTCAGAGGGCAAGGAAGGGCATGTGCCCCTGAACTTGACCACAATCAGAGGAACACAGAGTAGAGAGAAGTGACCCCTGCAAGTTGGACTCCAGCCTCCACTATAAATGAATACATTGTAACAACTAAGAAGGGTAATTTTAACCTTTAAATCAGCAAGACTAGCCTAGTGTTGGGGCACACATCAGGGGGCAGAGGCAGGTGGATCTCTGTGAGTCCGAGGCCAGCCTGGTCTACAGAGTGAGTTCCAGGACAGGTTCCAAAGCAATGCAGAGAAACCCTGTCTCTGAAAACAAAACAAAACAAAACAAAAATCAGCAAGACTAGGCTGTGGGTGCAGCTTGGTGCACAACACAGTATGTGTGGGGCCCTGGCCTCTACTCTTGGCATCACAAAAGTAACAGCCAAGCTCTCAGTTCAGTATCAACAGATATTAAAGATCAGCTTACTCACTTCAAAGCTGCATTTGACTAAATGTTGCGATTATCAGCCTATTTTAAAAAAAAAAAAAAAAAAAAAAAAAAAGAGTACCTGTGTCATTGACATCATTATTTACCACTTTCTAGTCACACCAGACTTTTTCTGTTTGTGTAGAATGGGGTGTTCATCAAAACACTCACAGAGCGTGTTTGCCTTCTGCCCTTGCCTCTCGGGCGTGAGGGTGTAAGGAAAGGCGGGTGGCACAGCTGTTTCTCTACCCAGCCTCACCGATGTCTATGCACACCCCAGTCACCCTCTGGACTGAGTTCCAGGAATGGCGGTACACACTTACGAAGGGCTGAGGCAGGAGGCTCACGTGAGTGCAGTGGCAAAGACGGGCAACACAGTGCAAAAACGTGCAAAATAAAGCCATAAAACGCTGCCTCCCATCTTATTTCCTCAGTAGGCTTCTGAATCAGTACAGGCTCGATTCCAAGCACAGGAAACACTGAACGTTACCTTCAGTCCTCTCCACAGAATGGGCTTATATAGCCTGCACAGCATCTCTTCCACACCCTGACGGACTTTCTGTTCGTGAAAGTAGCTCAGCACCTAAAGGCCAGAGAAAAGAGAAAGGACACAAAGGATATGGAGTTATCGTAAAGCCTCTGAGTCAGATGCAGTGGTGGAACCCCTCGGGGGGCTGAGGGGGAAGGACAGTGAGCCTGAAGTCAACCTGGGCTACAAGAGCCTATCTCAAACAAACAATCCAATCAAAAAGGCTCCAGAAACAGAGGGAAGGTCTTTCTGCCCCATCCCACCATTGTGACACTTGCAACACTCTCTGGCAAGACCCGCAACAGACACAAGACAAACTGAAAGGAAGAACTCATGGCCAAACTAACACCACCTGGGTTCTAATGTCTACCATCCAGCCATACGTGGTAGCTGTCTCACTAACTGAGAGGATGAGGAAGAAGAAACCTGAGTCTGGGAGCTCTAGGCCATCCAGGACAACTAACTCAGCAAGACCTGACCTCAAAAATGAAATAAACATAAAAATTGTTTGTTTATTGAGACAGGATTTCTGTGTAGCCTTGGCCATCCTGGAACTCACTTTGTTCAAGGCTGGCCTTGAACCAACAGAAATCTGCCTGCCTCTGCCTCCCAAGTGCTAGGATTAAAGGGGTGTGCCTCCACCAGCTGGCTAAAAACTACATCCTCACTAGCCTCTCAATGTACACATAACCTCTACAGAGCTCTGGCTTAAGGGTAAAATGGAAGAGATGAGCATGAACAGGACTTTGCCCAATTCTTCTTGACTCAAATGCTCATTAACCCACTGTTAGCTCTGCTGCCCACCAGGGATAGGCACCAGCTATCTTAAGATTGCTTAACCAATGGGCTTCCACACAATACTCTTTCTAGCACAAGCTCAACTGAGATACTCGGCTCCTCCCAAAATTTATAACTAATTAGAAAGAGACCATCTTTTCCCTCTGATAGTCTGAACTGACCCACAATTCTATAGAGACCCTTGAACCCAGCAACAACCAATACTGCTTTGTCACTGGAATCCACTCCTGCAGAAGACTTATTAGTGCAAATACCCAATGGATTACAGCACGAGCTTGGTTTCCTAACGGAGGGTTTCATTATCTTTTTAAATGTTTCAGAATGTCTCATCTACACAACTCGGGCCAGCTTCTAGCTCACGACCCTCTGGTTCCATGGCCAGATTAATGCAGGTACAGACACACACTACCACACTGGGTAACTTGTATGAGTTTCATTGCCAGTGGGGTTTTCTTGTTGAGTACAGTATTACCATGCTTTGGTGTGGATGATGTTCTCATTTTGCAGAATGACTTTAAGCACCTTAAAAGAGAAACAGAATCCACTTGCCATAAAGTTACTCCTAAAGCAGGAAGTCCCAGCTGGCTTAATGACAGTGATACCCTTTCCTTCCCTGTCACGGAGCTGGTAGCAGAAACAAACTACCAGGGTACCAAACATCAGAATCCTAAGAAACTCCTTTGACTGGTAGGGTGAAGTTATGAATTTTTAAGTTTAGCCAAGACAAACAGAAAGGGTGAAACAGGATCTCAACAGCCATGCGCTCACGGCCGGTGGATCCGGTGCGCCTCACTCACCTCTCGTACTTTGGAGTGCACGGGAGAACTCCTTGGAAGGTGGATGCCATGGAACATGAAGTCCTGGATGCAGTCATATTCAATGGTCTGAAACAGTAAGAGCAATGGCGAGCAGACATCCCTCAGGCAGCGCACACTGGCAGGGAGAATGGGGACCTCCCATTCGGGAGAGCCGAGCTGGGGCTGTTCAGTCAGAGCTGTGGCTATGTGTCCATGCCTCTCACTGTTCCTTGTGTTCCCGTATACAAAGAGCACACTCAGCCGCTTCTATTTTATCTCATGGAACAGTGTGTCTGAGCGATGCAGCAAGGAAAGCATCCCACAACCATGGGAAGCCAGCTCACAACAGAAAGAGGTGCAGAGACTAGGGAGAAGGAGAGCACACAGGCCAGATAGAGACCTCAGGACACTCACACTGACCTGAATGAACACCACAAGCTTGAACCTGCTTCAAGGACAGAAATGCAGCGGAGCTACGTCCACAGCGGAGGTCAGAGCTCCGGAGACCGAAACCCCTGACAAGTGCCGGGGGAGGGGGGTGTGAGAGAGACACTCCTTGACAGCCCACGACGCTCAAGAGCTTCAGGCTGAGAGAAAAGGAAAGCCAGGCCCAGCAGGCTACGTGCTACCCTACACCCCAGGGCTCATGGACTCCTTGGCTCTGGGGAAGGACACAGGGATTGCTGTCAGTGTCACCCTGAAATCTCACCTTCCCTGAAGTCAGTGCCAAATCTCTGAATGTGGGATAACATGCTACCTGACAAATGGTGAGACAGGAGCTATCCCACGTGTCCGAGAAGTTACATGAGCCACAAAGACAGAGCGGATTAGCAGCGTACGGCACATTCCCTTCTACAGGCGCCTCCAACACAGCGATGGGACAGATTTAAAGAGGAGAGCTGCAATCAAAGCCTGTGAGGGCAACACTGCAGATGCTTAGAAAGGCACTTGCTGCCAGGCCAGACGACCCGGGGTTAACATCTAAGACCAACAATGGTGGCAGAACGGACTCCTAAAAGCTGCCCCGACCTCCACATGAGCCACAGCACGCAGGCCCACACCCATGCACATACCAATAAAAAACACACATAAATAATGTTTAAAACGACATATATAAAAACATTAAAATGGCTATGGTGGTAGCACAGGCCTTTAACCCCAGCACCAGACACAGAGGCAGGCAGGCAGATCTCTGCGAGTTCAAGGTCAGCCTGGTCTACAGCCAGGGCTACACGGAGAAACTCTGTCTTGAAAAATGAAAGAAAAAAAAAAAAAAAAAGGAATACAGATACACACATTTATGTTTTCTATCTACATGAATTAAAATGACGAAACAAAATTAATTCTAGCATTTAGAAGGCTGAGGCAGGAAGACCACAGATTCAAGACCAGCCTAAACACAAATGAATGAATGAATGAATGAATGAATGAATGGGAGAGGCCAGGGAATGGGGGCAATGGTTCAGTAGCTAAGAGTAAGAACTGCTTTTCCAGAGGACTCAAGTTCAATTCTCAGCACACATGTCAGGCGACTCACAACTTCCTGTAAGCCTAGCTCCAGGAGATTCAATGCCCAACCCATGCAGACCCTCGCACAAATATGTAGCTAAAATAACAATTAAAAAACAAACTTTTTTTTTTCAAAATAAGCAAACTAAAATAATGCAGAATAAAACCTTGGTGCTGCCCTTCTGCTGGAAGGACTACACACTTTTAAACTAGTTTATAAAATGTCCACAGGGGGACACGGTAACTTTTGATCTCTAGATGTTGAAGAAAATGGCAAATACTAGCCCTAAAGACCAAGTGTTAAGTAGGGAGAAAAGCAGAAACCAAATCATCATCAGCAACTGCGCTCCACTTGCTGTGTGGAAGTCTTCCTCCTCCCATTGCCAGCCATCCGCCAGCCACTGCCAGCCACTGCCAGCCACCCACCAGCCACCCGCCAGCCACTGCCAGCCAGTCAGCCACTGCCAGCCACTGCCAGCCACCCGCCAGCCACCATAGCCAGCCACCGCCAGCCACCCGCCAGCCACCACAGCCAGCCACTGCCAGCCACCACCGCCAGCCACCACCAGCCACCGCCAGCCACCGGCCAGCTCTCCAAAGACAAGGGTCAGGAGAGATGGAGGCACAACACCAAGAACACTTGTGGATTAAGAGTAAAAGTTTACTCCTTGAGACTACAGAATGAGAAGACAGACAGTGGACGGGGTTGAGAATGGCAAAGCGACATCTTCCTAACATACACGGTGCAGTTGGATGGGCTAACTATAAGCAAAGTGAATGTCACAAACTTCTTAAAATGGCAAAAATGGCATGACTGAACGAGGCACCTGAGGGCCTTCAACAGCACCCTCCACGGAAACAGAATCCAGCACAGACGCAGCATCACACTTACAAGTAGCCAGAATAAACACAGGAAAAGGAAGCAGGCCAGATTATTTTAATATTACATTTTCCTTAGCCCAGTACACCAACTTGCAGCACATCTCCCTTTGACTAGCCACACCCCAGCAGCCCAATAACCGGAGGTAGCTGGACAGTCTCGACCCAGAGGCAACAGAATAAGGAACACAGCCTTGGAGTTCACAGGAAATGCATGTCCTCAACATGTGGGCAAGAAGCAGAGTCAGCCTGTCACATTGTATCAGCATCACTAATCAACTTTATTTTCAGGTGGACCAGGCAAAAGTTTTAAACAGCCCACCCTTGCATACTTAAGTAACTAGACTACAGCAGATACTAAATAAAATGAAAATACCTCCAGTGTTTTCCCTGAAGCCTTTTTCCAAGCTCTGAAATAAATTTCTGCAATATGCACCATCAATGACCTATTTAAAAAAAAAAAAAAAAAAGATGTTAATACACGTTTGAATAGTTATACCTTTACCATGTGCCACGCTTCGGTCACTCTCCTGCCTTAGGCAGAGGAAACTGATACAGGACACGGTTCAGCAACTCATCTGCAGCACCACCTGCCTGCCATGGAAAGAGGAAGAGGACGAGACTGGGGAAAGGAGGCTGGGGTGGAGTGGACTCCTCGCTCAAGGCCTCAGTAACGGCGTCACCACCCCTCACATGTGGACTGAGCTAGCTTAGCTGGTAAAGGCACTTGCTTCCAAGTCCACTGACCGCCAATGCCTACACGCCAGTTGGTGGGAATAGAGGAGAAACTCTCCCCTCCACATGTGTGCTATGACACTCACACTCACACCCAAACAAACAAACAAACAAACAAGTCGTTAAAACCACCAACTCTTTACATACAGGAAACGTTACAACAGGATTCGACTTCACAACCATCTAAGCTTAGAAATCAGTTCAGCATAGATACTTTACAAACGAGGAGATATGAGAAAGCTATCTAGGATATGGTAAGCGTTTTGTACTCGGACTAGCATCAAATCCCAACTCGGTGCTCATACCGCTACCTGACACTAAGACTGTAGCCTACCCCGGGTGCAGGAAATGCCTTTTTTAAATGCAGAGGGAGCACACTTGGATGGCAGCTCTGACTGCTGGCACAGGAAGTGCTGGGCTAGAACCCCACAGCTCTGGCTTTTCCTACTTACACCACAGGGCTCCTCACAGTACCCACACCTGATGAGATAGAGGCTGCACTCTACACTCAGAATGTCCCCTCCATACTCCTAACACGGACTTCGTTGTGGACGAGACAAAGCTGTCAAACATCTGACTGGGGAAGCACCACTGGAGACCACGGGAGACCGGGGACTGGGGATCAACCCACCTAGACAGCAAACATGCCATCTCGAGGGAAGAGAAGAGGAGGACTAAAAAACCACAAGTTAAAATCTCAATCTCAACATCACAGCCCGAGAAATGACTTCTTAGAGGAAAACAACTCCCTAGTAACACAGCAGTGCATCTTAGGATGTGACTTCTAAGCTTCTAATGTCCACAGAAACAGGGTGGAGGTGGGCATTTGCAACTGGGAGGCTGGGGCAGTTAGAGTGCTGTGCAGTGAGGGGCCAGACTGTGCTACACAGTATGAGCTTGTCACAACTTGTGCGTGCACAAACACACATGCACATGCGCACACATGTACACACATGCACACACGAATGTGCGCACACACATGGATACACAAACACGTGCACGCACTCACACACGATTGTGTGCGTACACACACGCACACGCGCGCGCACACACACACACACACACACACACACACACACACACACACACGCACGCACGCACCTTTTAAGGTCAAAGAGAATCCTGTGGTACTTACTTCTGTAATCCAGGCAACTGGTTTTTAATGGTCTCGTGGATCATTTTAATAAAGTCTACATTCCAACTGAAGAGGAAACTAAGAAATCTTCTTCCCTGTAAGTGAAACAGAGAATAAGATGGGCATGATAGCACATGCCTGTAATCCCAGCTATGTGAGAGGCTGAGACAGAATATGACAAGATCAAGGTCAGCCTGGCAACACAGACCTCATCTCAAGTAACAAAGTTGCAACTAAATGAAACGCCTCTAACAACAAATATTTACATTTAGTACATCCAAAGTCAGCTGGTCATAAAAAAGAAGCTCACTGTCACTTGGCATGTTCGCCCAGGGGTGGAACTGGGAAGTACTGCAGGTTGCACTCCTAGCTACAGAGACCCGTGGGGCCACAGACGTTCCTCCCTGGGGTAGAACAGAGCCGCACTGAGCACCTGTCTTCAAGGAGCTCAGAGACAGCCATACAGACCTTCACAGGGGTCTGCAAACCCAAAGAGTGCCTGATGTCTGTCCCCATCCTGAACTTCTGCTCTCACCCAATTTCTAACAACCCTGGGGATGGAGGTACAGCCCCTATGCTTGCCATCTCCCCAATAATGAGGTTGCCATAACAACCCCCTAGGGACGTGGCCCTCTCCACACATATCCCATGCCGCTTCCCTCACGCCATACCATGTGCCCCTGACACACACACAGGTCTGACAGGACACCTGACGTTCTGCGTATAGAAGAAACACAGGCTTCAGAGTACCCGCCCTTCAGTCAGGGTTGGAGACAGACTTTTCTGGTGCAGCCAAAGAAACTGGTACTAATCACATATGCCCTACGGGTGTGGGACCAGAGACTTCCATGGGACCTGACTTGGTTCTCAGTGCTGAGAGCCTGAGGAATGCTCTTTGGAAGCCGCCTCCACTGCCTCGGGGAAACGGCTGCAGGGACCGGTCCTTCGGGACAAATGCAACCCAAACACACTGTGTTATGGTCACCTCGCACCCCACACCCAATAACCACTACACAGTCACGTCACGTATCAGAACTATTCTCCAGAAACCATGTTAATATAAGGTTAGGATTATTTACAGTTTAAAAAACAAAAAAAAAAAAAAACAAAAAAAACAAAAACAAACAAACAAAAAAAACTGGGCAGGCCTAGGAATTGAATCTAGGTCCTCGTGTATGCTAGGCAAGATCTCTACCACTTACCTGTAGCCCCAGCTCTAAAAATATTTCACACATGGGAGTCCTTACAAAATCTCCTTTACAGTAAGTATTTGATTTAAAAAAAAAAAAAAGCTGTTAGACATTATACATTCTCTTTTTATTTTTTTTTTTTCATGCTAAGTTCTCCAGTCCATGTCCATTTACACGCTAAGGCGCATGTCAACTGGAATTGGCCATGCGAATTGGGATTGGTCCGCTACGGGCAGTACAACAACAGGCCAGAAGCCCCTCCCTCCCTTAGATTTCCTGGATGGTGGGGAAAGTGGAGACTACTGCCCGATGGCAATTTTTATGTGTATGTCATTGAAACATGATTGCGTGGCCCGGGAGAGGCTCAGTGGTAAAGCACTTACCTAGCGTGCATGAGGCTCTGGGTTTAATTCACGGCACACACACACTCCTCACCTCCACACTGGGTACTGTTTGCCAACGTGATGCAAGCTAGAGTCTGAGGGGGCGGGTGGACCTCTTGTGAGTTGGAGGCCAGCCTGGTCTACAGGGTGAGTTCCAGGATAGCCAGGCCATACAGAGAAAAGTGTCTCGAAAAAGTTAATCCCAGCACTTAGGAGGCAGAGGCAGGAGAATCTCCGTGAGTTTAATAATAATTTGCTCTACATAGAGGGTTCCAGGCTAGCTAGGGCCACACAGTGAAATCCTGTCTCTTAAAAAGAAAGAAGAGAAGCAACAATATCAAAATAACAATAACCACACACTTAGGGCCTAGACAGCCAGAGCTACATAATACTCTAGAAACACTGTCTCAAAAACATAAAAGACAAAACAACAATAAACCATGGGAAGCAGTACACAGCACTCTGCCCTGGTCTCTGCTTTAGGTCCTGCCCCTAGATTCCTGCTTTGAGTTTCTGCCCTGACCTCCTTCAGTGATGGAGCATGACTGGAGAGTTTTAAGATGAAACAAACCCATTTTTCCTCAAGTTGCTTTTGGACAAGGCATTTTATCACAGCAACAGAAACTCTGAGACACCTTCCCCTACAAACCAACATCACCTGTGGCAGTATAAGGGGAGCAGGTCTCAGCCACAGGGATAAGCTTTCTCACATTTACGTATGTGTGCATATGTTTGTGCACAAAGTCTGGCCCTATGGCAGTCTCCAAGGAGTAACCACCTCCTCACCATGAAATATGTGTGTGTGTGTGTGTGTGTATGTATATATAGATGTTTGTATGTATGCAGATATTATATAACATATAAGCATAAAACACTCACTTTTTTTGTTTTTTGTTTTGTTTTGTTTTGTTTTGTTTTGTTTTCCCCTGTATAGCTTTGGAGCCTGTCCTGGAACTCACTCTGTGGACCAGGCTGTTTTTGAACTCACAGAGATCCACCTGCCTCTGCCTCCCAATGAAAGGCGTGCACCACCAACGCCCAGTTTAGAACATAGCTCTTGATGGCTATGCTGGCTTTTCCAGGAAACAGCAAGGTACAAACAGCAGTCACAGGAACTTGAGAACATAATGACTTACCTCTTCCTTCTTGATGTAATTAACATTTATGAAGCACTCAAGCAGCATGTCTTTAATATCTCTGTTTTCCTCCAGGTCATAAACAAAGCAGTATAAAGCCTGGTGGATGTGCCACAGCCTACACATATCTGCACCCTGAGGATAACACGGGAGAGAACAACACAGTGCTTGTGGCAGTGTCTTTCTTTTCTTTTGTGAACAGTAGAGCTGTCTTTCAAGCTAAGTATATATCTCCTTTCTTTCTTCCTTTCTTTTGTTTTATTTTTCGAGACAGGGTCTCTCTGTATTGCTCTGGAGCCTGTCCTGTAGACCAGGCTGGCCTCAAACTCACAGAGATCCACCTGCCTCTGCCTCCTGAGTGCTGGGATTAAAGACGTGCTCCACCAACGCCTGGCTAAGCTAAGTATATATTTTATATCATAAATAATGCACATTATAGGATCATAAGAAAGTAGGACATAGTGACAACTAAAAAAAAAATTAAGATATGCAAATGTTTTGCGTAGTCCAATACAAGACTCTGGGCTTTGGTGTTTGGTTTTTTCACTAGTTTGTCTTTTTCGTAGGGCTGCACCCAGCCCAGGCTGGCCACAAACTTCCAAATTGTTTCTCTTTGGCCCAGCCGCAACTAGGCCTTCACAGAGATGTGAAGTATTTCCCATAACAGTCCTGACTTGTAATGCCTGCCTCTCCTCCAGGACACTGCTGACTACCTGCTCAGTCCTACTCTAAGATATACCCTCTGTGAGAGGACCACAGCCATCTCCCCAGTAACTCAGGGAAACAGCCCAGTCTGCCTTCTTCCCACCACAGCAGAATCAGTAATAGGACACAGAGATGGAGTGACACGCAGGACAGCAGCCACACCCTGAGGGGGAAACATGGGAGAGAACGCCTAACTTTAAATCTCACCATGGATCGTGGACCCGTTCTTGGAGCGCGCGCGCGCACACACACACACACACACACACACACACACACACACACTCCCCTAAAGCGGGAAGCTGAGATCCACCCCCTTCTAGCTAATCCAGCCCTCACTAAGTGTTTCCTGACGGAAGCAAACATACCCTTTTGGTCTCCAGACTTCTCCTCAGCAGCATGACAAACGCTGTCTTTCCCATGTCCTCCTTGGCCGGCAGGCCCTTTTCCCACCATTTCACACACAGATCCTGAATAGAGTTCTGGAGTTTTTGTTCAGATTCAGGTAGCGCGTATAAAATGCCTGAAACACAGCACAAAGGTTTTTCTCTTATTAAGCAAACAATTACTGATACATACTAAATAGTACAGGGTATTAATTATGACGTGGTCCAAGGCCTTGCTATACAAGTATTAGTTTAGTTTGCCAAATAAACATCACTCACGGAATTCTAATACTTAGTTTTAAAAAAAAAGATGTACAAGTGTGAAAAAAAAAAAAGTTACAACAATCCAGGCAGCGGTGGCACACGCCTTTAATCCCAGCACTTAGGAGGCAGAGGCAGGGGACTCTCTGTGAGTTTTGAGCCCAGGCTGATCTACAGAGTGAGTTCCGGGACAGCCAGGGTTGTTGCATAGAGAAACCCTGTCTTGGGGAAAACAAAACAAAACTAAAATTAAATATTAAAAAGGAAAAAAAATATGAAATCAGGCTAAAGCAGCATCCTAAGTGTGTTAAGACTAAGAATCTGGTAAGAAAACTTGACCCAGGAAACTATGCCCAAGTGAACAAAGCACTCAAAAGACAGTTCTCTGAAATCCTTAAAACCGTTACATTTTTAAAATATCTTTGTGTAAACATTTCATAACCAGGCTTTTCATTAAAGTCACATTAGTGTACCTGTTTAACAGCCACAGTTTTACAGGCAGTTAAAAGCAAACAAGAACTAACTACAAGAATCAACAAGGACTCCGGAGATCACGGTCGGTCATTCTCTAAGAAAATAAAATCTCAGTGACAGATTCCTGGGCTCTGTGGAAACAGAGCAGCTGAAAAATCTGTAGCCAGGTAAGCCCTTCGACAGTACTTGCTATCGTTAGTCCTGAGCCTAGGCACTATCCTGCAGAGCCTACAAGAAATAGCAGTCAGCAACTCAGAACCCTGGTAGGCAGAGCTAACTCCTCAGGGGGCCCTGGTAGTGGAGAACTTGACTGCAAAGACATGCCTTTAAAGGTCTTTGCTTCAGATGGCCATGCTGCTCATGAAGGTGGGTGACTTCTTCTTTAAAGGTGTCATGTTAGTGCCCGTTACTGAACATGCCACTTACCGTTTAGTATGACAGCACACTCCAGGAGGGCCCCATAGTTCTCTTGTTCATTTATTACAGATACAGAAGCAAGGATTACAGATGTAATTGCATGTATTATTTCTATGCTCTTTTTCTATAAATGAAAACATTGAAACATAAGTGAGATAATAAAATAAGGAACTTGACGCTCAACTTGAAAATAAAAAAAAAAAAATCAAATAGCTACTAAATCTCTAAAGTGATGCCACCTCTAGTTTGTTGTAAAAAGCTTGTTGTAAAAAAGTTGTAAAAAACTGAATGTAAGTCAAATGTCCTAAGAGAATCGTAACACTGAGTACCAGCAGAACAGCGATGGTAGAGCTGGTCAGCAGGTAAAAAAAATTACAACAAACAGAACTGGCATATCCTACATCTTCTTAACTTAAAAGTTCAATTGTTCCAGCCAGGCATGATGAACGCACACATGCCTTTAGTCCCAGCCCTGAGGATGCTGAAGCAGGTGACCTCTGGGGTCAAGGCCAGCTGGGTATGCACGTGAGTTCCAGGCTGGACAGGACTAATAATGAGACCCTTTCAAAAAGAAAGTTTCAATTATCCAAATAAACAATCTTTCCTTAACACATTAAAGGGGAGCCTTTTTGCCTCGGAAAGACAATACCATCTTTGGACTGGGCTCTGACTCCATCCCATCTTCGCCCTGGTCTTCTACTGTGTGCCACCCGTCCACAGGGCTATCTAGCAACGTCTCTGTTAGTAAATCCTTCAGCCTTTGCCACAACTCTTCTTTCTGCTTCCTGGATAGCTCATCTAGTAACTCGACTAGGCTGAAAGGGTCCGAAGAATCTTTCTGCAAAATAAATTTAAAAAAACACAAAACAGGGAAAATTAGACGTATTCTCCTCCTGCTGGTATTAACAGGAAAGTTTAAGTACCAACTTAGTTACATGTTTGAGTGCTTGGCTGGTTTTCGAATCCTTTTCCCAACAGGGAAAACAGAAACACAGAATTACCAAACAGGAAGCATCAAATCTCTCCTCCACCTCTTCTTCCTTAGAACCTGACATTTAAAGTTTAAAATTCCACCCACTCCAACGTCCCCAAAAATCAATTAAAATGCCCAACTCCACCCCCTCCGCCCCAGGCACAGAAGTGTGCTGGAGGCAAACAATGGCAACAGGATCAGCAATAACCAAAGGCTCAGAATTCTTTCCTTAGGCTCTTAGTGCCAGCAAACAAGCCAGTCCACACGTCTGCTCCTCGGCCCTGGCCAGCGTCTCTGCCTAAACACCTCTGGCTTGCTAGTCTCTCTTCTCACTTGGGCAGACTGCGCACATCTCTCTGACATGGTAAGAACAGGCCTTGTCAAAAAGGTACAAAACCTTTCCCCAGCACCTGCCCTGGGACAATCCAAGTACAAGTACAATAACAATACTGTAGCCTACAGAACGAAGTTAGCACCAACGAGGCTGTGTGAAAGTTAACAAATAACAAATCATTCATTAGTAGCACAGGCATGCTACATCAATGAATACTGAAGAAATACAGCTCACAAATAACCATTTTATGGCCACCGTAGTAACAGACTTTGGTAAGAGGTATCCATAGATACTAAAACAGACAGGCAGGAGTGTGCTGAGCAAACAGGTCACCTACAGTTACGGGTTCCCTCAGGTTGCCCATACGTACAAAGAGAAAACAGGAAGCTACTTCTGTGAACACCCACGTACCCACCCAACCTGAGAGGCCAACACTGCTAGGCAGCTCCTGCAAAAGAGACACCAGATCTAACCAGATTGGCTAATAGAAAAAAAAGAATAAAAAACAGTCACCAACACCTTCAAACCTTCAGAGCTGTGACAAGCACAGGAAGGCAGGGAGACACTGCCTAGAATCCTGGATTGAAGGTCACTTAAGGGCATAGTCTCAGGTCCTCACAGTCCCCAGCAGGAAGGGTGAGGGAACTGGGGTTGATATATAAGATTGTTTCCAATTTAAATTTTAAAAGTGCAAAATTAAAAAAAAAAAAAAGATCACTTAAGAGATGTGACAGCTACAGGCAGAGTCTGACACAGAGCTGCATCCTGGAGCAGGAAAAGTATGACTATAAAGGACATTATTCTGGCAACTGTTGAAACTTCAGTACGTACTGAAAATAATAGTTAAAGTGTCATGTCATGAGGACTTTAATGCAGCCGTATACAATGGAATTTTATTCAGTTGTACAGAAAAATGAAGTCTGAAGGGAAATGACGAAAGTGACCCAGACTCATCACAGAATGACTGCCCTTCCTCATGCGCAGACTCTAACTTTTAATTATGTATACAAGCAGGCGTCACGGGGCAGACAGTAATGCTGGGGTGAGAGGGTGCCATGAAAATACTCACGAGACACCAAGCAGAAAGGAAGATGCCGAGGGCAGAAGCACATTGGGGGGGGGGGGGGCAGAAAGACAGGAGGAAGGAGGGGAAACATTAAAAATCAACGCGACACTGTTTGGGGAGGTCTAAGTGACACAGCCTTGATGGAGGAAATGTATCTCTAGGGTCAGGCTTTGAGATTATATATTCCGGCCCCACAAGCTTGCAGTAGAGGATGGACACCTCCTCCCATCATGATGGAGCCCATAAGCTTTCGACCATGGCGTTTTAACACAGCAACAGGAAAGTAATACAGCTTCCCATCTTCACTGACTTTCCCCCTGTATTGGGAAAGGCATCTATCACTGCACAACGAATGGCCCTGCCACTCTCTTCAGGCTAAAACAACCTGCCTCCTCCAATTCTTCCCCACTTCAGTTCAATAAGCTCTTTGGTTAACTCCTGGTTACCGTCGATTTTCACCTCAGCCCAAAAGTGGGACCATTTAATTCTAAACAGTTTATTACCCCCACTTAAAAACAAGCATTCATCGCCAAGAACTCACTGAGAGACCTGTACTTTACTTGGGGATGTGGTTTTAGAATGTTATTTATACTCAGAGTCAAAACGACAGTAAAAGGTAAAACACACAACTTACGTCAAGTTGAATAAACTGCAGAAACTCTTCGACCAGGTCCTTAGAAACCGCTTGGACAAACGTCTCGCGCTTTTCCATGACAGATGAAACTGTTCTAAGGGACAACCCAGTGTTACAACCCTGTTGGAGAATACAATCAGACCAGAACTTAAACATGCAAACTTAATTTGATGTGGACATTCAAGAAGAGTGAGAAAATTTTATGCCGCTATAGAAACCTGTCTCTAACAACATTCTGTGACAAAATTATAATAATCTGAAAAAATATTTACTGAAGATGTCATAAACAAAAATATCCACGTTATTACAACTGTGAATGAAGCTAGCAGCTTAAGGAACAAGAAATCCCAACTGTCTTACTTTCTCTTTTAAAGGCTGGCTTGGCAAGGACTGACATATGCAACAGATTCAAGCAGACCCAAACTGGCTGATTCTTCACGTAGCTTCTAAAGTGCCATTCCTCCAAGACCCCACCCGACAAATCCTCTCTTGTTTTTCAAGTGAGAGCAGAGGTCACCAGGGAGCTTGTTAGATGGTGCATTCGCACCTGACTTTCCTCCTCTCCACTCCTACAGGATAACGAGAGCTCAAGGGACCTTGATCATTCTCCTTCCAGCATGAGACCTCCCAGGACATCCTATTTTACCATTACACCCGGTGCTAGGGTGACCTACTCAGAACACAGTCGGTGACAGAACATATTCATTAAAGTTTAAAAAATCCCCTATACCTTTACAAATACAGGAATGTGGAAAATTACTGGCAGTAATCATGCAGACAGTGAATCACAATAAATATATATTCCTACTTTAAAGTGAATAAAAGTAGAAAACAACCTCAGCTTGACAACCCCTCACATCAGTAAACCTTAAACACTGCCACTCCGTTAAGCAATTACATTGGCTGAATTGCGAACCACAACTTTCCCCCCCCATGAATAAAATGGAGCGGGAAAGGCGGGGACCCAGAACCAACACTTTGCTAAGTGTGGTTCTTGTTGACTCAAGCGCTTGCCTCTGGCTACTTACTCTGCCCAATGATGTCTACAGACGCTACGCTTGCAAAACTGCTACTGTGTTTTGTTTTTCTAATTAGTTCAGGGCCAAGATCCTCCCTCGGTCAGTCGTGGGTGTAGGGTCGGGGGTCCTTCCTCCCGGTGTCATCCCAAGTTCAAGCCCAGCATCCTCCCTGGCGGATGGTCCGGGTCTGAGTCCCCCCACCCCCTCACCCTCCCGCCGGTGACCCTGCAGTCCTTTTTCTGGGCGATCTCCCGTCAGAGCCAGGCCCTCTTCCGGGGTGCTCCCGCACCAGCACCCGGGTCCTCGCCTGGGCTCCTCCTCCGCCGCCGCCGCCGCCGCCAGCGCGGGTGGAAGGCTGGGGTCCTCCCCGGTGAGCCCCTGTCACGGTGGTCTGCCCCTCCGCAGGCGCCCCAGGCGGACGGCGACGGTGACCGCGGACGAGTGACCCGGCCGGGCTGCGTCACCCGGGCCCCAGTCGCCACCCTCCCAAACTCACCGCGCCGCGCTCCTCTCACCAGGGTCCCATCGCTTCCCGCGCTCGCTGCAGATTCAAACACACCCGCGCGCCGCCCGGACGCACCCGCCCTCCGCCCCGTCACCAGTCGCCGCCGCTCTCACGAGAACTGACGCCCTCCGGGCCACGCCCACGCACGTCACCCCTGCGACCGGGCCACGCCCACCCCGGCCAGGCGCCGCCCCTGGGCGGGGCTTGGAGCCGCGCGGCCGCGGGGCGCACGCGCGTTCCCCGTTCCCGCCCGCCCGCCCGCCCGCCCCCCGATCCCCGGGAAAGATCGCGGAGCAGACGAGGGCAGACCGGCCGCAGAGGCCGACGGAGGACGGATGCGGGGGACGGAGAGCCTGGGGCGTGGTGACACGCAGGAGGAGGCGACGACCGAGGAGGAAGGATGGGTGTGAGGTCAAGGCACCCCAAGGGAGTGGCTCCAGAGGCGGGAGGAAAAAATAACTAGTGTTTTGTACGAGTCACCCGTCTCGGGAGCTTTCTCAACAGCCCAGATCAGATGAGGACTTGGGGAGGAGCCCACTGAGGGAGATGGGAGCCCCAGCCTGCCCTTTCCCAGGGTTCAACTGCAGATGGTGCTCAGTCAGGCCCGTAGCCCCGGGCTGGGCAGCAAGCACTCCACAGTCTGGAAGAAGAGTGGTCCTAAGCCCTGGAAACCAAGGCCAGCCCTCCAACCCACTTGCCTCTCCTTGATCCCAGTCTTCCCTCTCTGCCCCCCCCCCCCCGCTGCCGGCCTGCAGGGCTCAATCCCCCCAGCCCATCCCCCTTGCCTGTCCCGCTCTTCTCCAAATGAAGTCACTGTCACCAGTTTCTGGAAAAGCCTTTCAGAAATATATATATATATATGTCCTGCACTGTTTTCTTGCTCAAAATATCCGAAGTTAGTTTCTGTTAACTGGATTGAACTTAAAGGACCCGGGTGTTACCCAGGGACAGCCTGCCTAGCCAACAGGACTAGATGCCTATTGACCGAGAAGGTCAAAACAATTTGTATTTAACTTGATATAGCCAAAGTGTAGTAGTCTCGACGGTATAAACTGACAGCGGGGAGAGAGCGCTGGTTAGTTAGGAAATGTGAGGTAGTAGCAGAGCCAGAGTCGGGTTCCACCCACCCACCCACAGCAAGCCATGTCTGTACCTATCACCTGCTTCATTATACGGGGGCTCCTTAATTTCTGGCCACCTCCCTGTCCACAATCCCTCGATCTCTACAGCCCCTTGAATTTGGATACCCCATCTTATCACTCTCACAGTTTCATCTACGAAGTTTTAGACCACCAGCCTGAGGCTGGACACCGCATTCAGATTTGCCTTGCACTGTCCTGAGCATCCTGCAAGCGTTCCGGCTGAGGTTTGACGCCCATCGGAGAGGAATCCCAGTTTCCACTGCCTTTCTCCCCTCCTTCGCTCACTTTCAGAGCCTGGCCCGTACACTTCCTGCTAAGAAACGGGTGGCGGTTTAGCAGTGAGGTCTGTGCTTCCTTGGTTTGCCATGTATTAAACAAAACAAAAACAAACAGGAGAGCAGGGCTCTTGATGTAGCTCAGTTGACAGGGGTGCTTTCCTACCTTGAACTACCCTGGGTTCGAGGATTAGCAGGATTAGCACTGCGTAAACGGATGGAACAGGGCTGCAATCCCAATACTCCAGGGACAGAAGCACAAGGAACAAAGCAAAGCGTGAGATTAGTATTGGCTACATAGTGCAAGGCCTGCCTGGGATAAAGGAGATCTTTTCTCAAATAAATAAACGAGATAAATAAGAGCAATCATACTGTCTGCTTACGTTGTGAGGTACCCACCAGAGATGACTGCTTGGACATGGGTTTAAGCCAATAGGAAAACCTTTATTAGCTGGCCAGTGACTACACTGGGTGTTCAGGATCCCAATATATCCCCAAGCCTTGCTCGGGGTGAGCTTTTAAGCACAAAAAACATGTGCTGGGTTGACATACTTCGGTTAACAGAACGGTTAGCCAGAAGCAAAACTACCAAAGCCAAAAAGCAAGGTGAGTACATTTAGAGACTTTCCCAGAACTACAGACTTGGATGGATTGGGTCTTTGTTTTGGCAAGTGGTGCTGTCTATGTGCTGAGTTTTACAGCCTGAACGGCACTTCCATCACGGAGTCAGTTGGGCTAAGGTCTTGGGATCTACTAAGTTCTGGGACCGTGTTATACTTACAAAGCCCATACCTTTATAACAGTGAGGGATTGAGAGCATGCTGGGGGCAAAGCTGAATGAAACTGGCGGTGGCCATTTAAACTTGTCGCCTGCACCCACTGGGAGGGCGCCTCTCCTCCTGCATAGCCGACTGCCAAGACTAAGCTCAAGCCATTACTTCCATGGGAAGCCATGCATAGCACCCAACATGTACTCTTCCACCTCCTGTGAGGTGTTTGCCCTCTCCTCTCCCCCCACTAGATTTTTAGAAGACAGGCAGGCGCTAGGCACTGTGCTGTTCTCTTCCCTCCAGCCACAGCTCATGACCCAGTTGCAGACTGGTTGCAGACCAGTCTTCTGAAAGGATGTCTGAAGTCACCTCTGTTCTTAAAACCTCACAGTGTGGCTAATGAAAAAGGGCAGAGTTGAAATTGGACCTCGTAGCAAATAACTATAAAAGACTGAAATTATGCCTTTGACCATGGCAATATCTTTAATAATGGACCAAATGTAAAGAGCACGGCCTGGAAATTTACTTACTTTGAACTGCATAAGTTAGACAGTTACCTGACTCAGATTCAAATGGTGTGAGCCTTAACAACGGATCTGCAATCCTCCAGGGAACACCAATGCTATCAGTTCCTTGAAGAATACACCCAGAAGTATTTTCTATCATACAAAGTTTGGGAGCATGTGTGGTAGCATAAGCCTGTAACCCCAGCACTCAGGAAGCCGGAGCAGGATGGTGGCTAGTTCCAAGCCAGCCTTGAATACATAACCATAATTTATCATCTTCAAAAATCAGCTTTAAAAAAAAGTATATACAATTTACAATTTCATTGTAATTGTGCCTAGGACATGAACTAAAACAATAAACTTACTAGCTAGGAACCAATAGAGTCCTAATCAAAGTGAGCTCTTCAAAGCCATTCTGGAGAAAACCTCCCAATGTGCGGTCTCTGTGAAGGGTTCTTGCCCTCTGTGATATCCAGAACTGAGCTGGACCCTGTCAGCGATGAGTCATAGATTCTGAGAAAGGCTCACAACTCATCGTGGCTAATTAGGAAGTGGTCACAGAAACGTTTCTTTCCCTTTGGTGGTTTCATGCTATACTATTTCTGAGAGTAAAGCCTGTACAGAAAACAGATCTTCAGAGTGTAAGAACTAAAGGAAAAGCAGAACTGAAAGCTCAGAAAGCATCAGGCAGGCCCTTTATCGAGGCTCAAGCCTGTCCCTTGCTGGCCTGAGGGGCAAACCCTGTTTCTGGGAATCCCTCCTGATGGAAGGGCGGGACTGTGGAAGTCCTTGGAAAAGAGACCAAGGTGAGGGAGACTGAGTCCCCTGATGTGGCCACCCACTTCTCAGCTGAATGGAACAAGGCGACT